GGACCCGCTCCGTTTGCAGGTGCCGGGACAATCCACTGCCGGCGCCGAAGCCCCCGTCGGCCGCTCGGGTATGAGTGGCTCCTGATGGAGCCTCCCGCGTCCCCCACCTCCAGGCGCGCTCCGCGCTGCTCACCCTTCTTTCGAGACCGGAGGAAACGGTTTCCTCCAGGCTGGAGGAGGCTCGGTCTCTTTTGGCCCCTCTGCGGCGCCGTAGCGGTACTTGGCGCGTCCCTAGCAACCGTTAGCGCGGGCTTCTGCCCGCTGGCTCTCTGGATCCCGCCTTCAGGTGCCGCTGATTGGCTTTTAAGGCTTGTCAATCGGTGCGAGTCGCTCTGCGATTGGCTGATGGACTAGCGGCGATAGGCTCCCTCCCGGCGGGGTGAAGTGAACTTGGTGGAGTGACCCTCGCTTTCCCCAGGTGAGATTCGTGTGCTTCGGGGCGCCTGGCCGGGCTCTGCGGGGTCCCGCCGGCCTCGGCGCGGCTGTCCGACCAGCCCAAAGCTCGGGGCTCGTGCGGGCCGCGGCCGTTTGCCTGCCAGCCTCTGGGCGCGGCTGCTTGGCCCTGCGCCGCCCGGACTGAACGCGTGCGTCTGTCAGTCCCGCCTGCTCCCCGGAGTAGGCTTCCGGGAGGCTCGGGGGGCCTGGCCCGCGGGGCCCTGCGCCGCGCACGAAGCCCGTCGATGCTGGGCGGAGCCCGCGAGGTGGCGCGCACGCCCCTGCCTCCCTCCGCTTCCTTCACGACCCACGCGCGCCCCGGCGTCCCCCTCCTCACCCGGTTCTCCACCCAGGGCCCCGCCGCGGCCCGAGCTCCGAACTCGGATGCGGCCGTGATGCCTGGCAGCCCCTGGCCTTCCACACCCCATCGCCCAGATAAATCCATGTCAAGTCCAGGTTGAAGTTTCGCTTCTGGGTTCCTCTTTCCATCTCTCTGCCGCTGCCTGGGTTACCGTAACATTTCTCCTCCCCGCCCTCACCCGGGCGCCTTTGCCCCTGGAGGGATCTTTGTGAAAATGTGTATCTGGCAGTGTTACTACCAAGCACGGACCTCTTTAAAGTCAGTCTTTGGGAAAGAATGCAGACTGCCTGGGCAGGCGTGGGAGGTCCGGTGGCTCGCCCATGTCCTCCTGTTCTCTCACCGGTGTGCTGAACTCGTCCCACGGGAGCTCTGGGGATCTTTGCCTTAAGGCGCCTCTGCCAGGCAGGGTTCTTCATTCCACTTTGCTGGGCTCGGTTCTGCCGGAAGCTTTGCTGGCCTGGATCTGGAGGTGCGCTTTGCTTACACCCTCCACCAGAGCAGTCATCATCCTGGGTATTCTTTTAAGATGCTCCATGCCAGAAACATACAGTCCCAGAATGGCTCTGATGGTGAGTCAAGTTACCCCTAAACCTGAAGTCCAGAGGAAGGTAGATTGTAGGGTGGCTCAAAATGACATCTTTGCCATTTTCTGCTCTGTTGTCCACTGTGTTAACTTCATGCTGAAGTTGATTTTGCTCCTGGGTGTTCGACAGTGGTGGGAGCAGTCGAAGCTATTTGCTTTCTAGCTGTGTTTTGGTGGGAGAAAGGTGGTTGCTTCCAGAAGTTTAGCAACAAGTATTTTCCCAGATATTCCCTGCACACCTATCCTGGCTGCTGTTAGGTCCTGCCATGCCTTCTGGAACCAAAAGGCACAACAGGAATAGGGTGCCTCTGAAGATCCATTCTGTGCTGTATTCAGGTTCCCATGTTTTCTGCTTGGAGCAGGTACCGAAAACAAAACAAAAAACAAACAAAAAAGCCATTCTAAAAATCGAGGCCTGGGCTTCTGGGCATTTCTAGTTAGTGTTTGAGTCAAACTAGTGAAAAAGAAAGTGATCTCAGCTTGCCTGAAGCTGGGCTCTGTGCTCTCGGGGCCAGGGGAGGCTCTGCAGAGGCGCTGTGGGCCTGTTCCTGTGATGCGGGCGTGCTGAGCAGTGCTGAGCAGGCCCACAGGGACTGCCGCCGGCACAGAAGGCACAGAAAGAAAAAGGATTCCCTTTCCTGCCTCCACCTCCCGACCTATCAGCTTCAGGCACTATTTATCTACTTCCTCCAGTGAAACAGAACATTGCTTGTCCTTACCCTTCCCTCCTTTCCCTTTTCTTGTTATTTTTACAAAGTAAACTTCTATAATATTTACACTGTTTTCTGAAGAGTTTTATTATTGTTTTTTTACAAAGTAGAGTTTTGTAACATTTGCAGTGTAATCTGAAGCACGTCAATGTGCTTTTGTCTATAGGTTGGTTGTAGTAGAAAACTAAACTATGATACATTATTGTTATTTGTTGTAGAAATAATGAGTGTATTTAGATGCTTAGAGAAGGAAATGCAAACCCCTGACATTTAAATGTTGCTACTTGAAGGAAAGCAACCTGTTCTAATAGTTTAATATTTAATTTCTTGCTTTCTACTCACCTTTTGGTTCAGAATTAGCTGCTCTTTTTAGGATCCTGTGCTGGGTATATATGTGTGTATATAAAGCATCTCTTAATTTTTTAGGATGTAGTAGTTGATTTATACAAACAGATAAATGCAATGTTAGTCACAAACCATGACAGTGAAGTCAACACTTTTAAGCCCACCACCCATATGAAGAACCAGGCAGCCCTTTGCCATTGTGCCCTCCCCCGTTCCAGCTTGCTTGGGACTCTCAGAGGAAACAAACCTCCTGCCTGGAGTTTGAGTTTATCACATAAATGTGAATCCCTAAACAGTATATTTCAATTTGGGGGTGGGGTGTTATGAAAAGGGAATTCTGTTGATACGCTTTTGTAACTTGATTTTTTTTTTTTTACTTATGTTGCTACGATTTATCCTTGCTGTGTGTGTAGAAGTTGTTTTCACTGCTGTAATTGATAGCATGAATATACCAGAATTTAAAATCTGTTTTCTTGTTGATGAATGTTGTGTCCTATTCTTTTCCTTTTTTTCTCTTACTATTGTGAACCATGCTGCCCTGAACATTCTTGAGTGACAAGGATTTCTATAGACTTTTAAGTCTAAGAGTAGAATATACTGTTAGAGTAGGTGGATATTTGACTTAAATTGTTTTCTAAAGACATTGTATCATTTTCTTGTGGAGCCACATCTTTATCAACATGGGGTATTATTAGAATTCTTAATTTTCGCTGATTTAATAGATATAAAATAGTCATGATTATGCTAATAAAAGTTAAGCCCTTCATCATAGGTTTATTGGCCACTAGGGTGACCTCTTCTGTGAAATTCTTGTTTCTTTCTCATCCATTTTTCTGTTGGCCTGTGTCTTTAAATTTAAAAAAATTTTTAAAAATTATTGACATTTTAAACTATCTTGGATACTAATTCTCTGATTATATATGTGGCAAATATCTCCTCCCAAGTTGTGACTTACTTCATTTCTTTATATATTTTGTGAACAGACATTAGCGACTTCAAATTTATCAGTGTTATTTTTTAAAAAGCTAGAGCTTTCTGTGTCTTAAGAAAACTTGCCCAACCTAAAGTCTTACAGAAAGTCTTCCCAATTTCCTTCTAAAAGTTCAGTGTTTTGACTTACGGAGATTAAGTCTGGGGACTGATTTTTGCTCAGGATGTGTGCATAGCTCTGTTTTCGTTGTTTCCCATTTGGGAGACGAGTTGCCACAGCACCTTTGTGTGACTGTGAATGGCCTGTACTTCTTATTATTTTTTATTTATTTTGCTATCATTAATGTACAATTATATGAGCAACATTATGGTTACTAGACTTCCCCTATTATCAAGTCCCCACTGATGCCGGGGTTCTTGTTCATGAAGTCGAAGAATGAGCTTCACAAACGCTCAAGGTAGGAGAGCAAGGTACAGGCTTTTATTTAGAGATAAAGTGAGAAGACAGAGCTCCCGGCTCACGCCAGGAGGGGACCAGAGAGTCCGTAGTGGTGCGCTGGCTAGGGGGTTTTATAGGCAGTTGAGGATTTTTCGAGAACATGAGAAAAAGTTTAGGGGTGTGGACTTACTAAGTAGTCCTAGAATATTAGAATTAACTTGATACAAGTAACTTCCTGCTCTGTTTTCTCCCTGAGATACCAGCATCTTGGTCTGGGGACAATGAAACAAGGCCACCTGCTCAGCCCCCAAGGTGGGCTGAGGTATTGTTTGCTAAAGAGTAAGTGAAGTGCAGTCTTACCCGTAAAGATGGAATCCTTCTTACCTTTTACTGTGTTATGGTTGGGCTTGCATGCTAAATTAGTTTGCCCAGTTTTGCAAAACCACTTCATCAGGTCTGAAGGAGGAAAGACAGCACATAGGCCTGGGCCTTTTAGCATGTAAAGTGAATTTTATACATGATTATGTGATTAGCATAAAATAAACATGTGCTACTCTTCTATATCTGGGGTACACCAGCTAATCTCACTGAAGAATGACTCCAGAGCTGAATGTTTAACACAGAGTTTTAGTAGAGGGGTTTCCTTGCATGTAGGTACATTGCTCTGACTGTAAATATCCTGCCTTGCTTTTTCCAGAGGCCCTCACCCTGCTCTGATTACACCCACGGTCCCTGTCTCACCACCACATACCCCATTACAATCACTGCCCATCAGCGTAGTAAGATGCTATAGAATCACTACTTGTCTTCTGTGTGTTATACTGTCTTCCCTGTGCCCCCCACCCCCTACATTATGTGTGCTAATCATAATGCCCCTTTTCCCCCCTTATCCCTCCCTTCCCACCCATCCTCCCCAGTCCCTTTCCCTTTGGTAACTGTTAGTCCATTCTTGGGTTCTGTGATTCTGCTGCTGTTTTGTTCCTTCAGTTTTTGCTTTGTTCTTATACTCCACAGATGAGTGAAATCATTTGGTACTTGTCTTTCTCCACCTGGCTTATTTCACTGAGCATAATACCCTCTAGCTCCATCCATGTTGTTGCAAATGGTAGGATTTGTTTTCTTCTTAGGGCTGAATAATATTCCATTGTGCATATGTACCACATCTTCTTTATCCATTCATCTACTGATGGACACTTAGGTTGCTTCCATTTCTTGGCTATTACAAATAATGCTGTGATAAACATAGGGGTGCATCTGTCTTTTTCAAACTGGGCTGCTGCATTAAAAAAGATTTTTTTTTATTAAAGTATGATTGATATACACTCTTATGAAGGCTCCACATGAAAAAACAATGTGGTTACTACATTTACCCATATTATCAAGTCCCCACCCATACCCCAACGCACTCACTGTCCATCAGTGCATGGGCTGCTGCATTCTTAGGGTAAATTCCTAGGAGTGGAATTCCTGGGTCAAATGGTATTTCTATTTTGAGTTTTTTGAGGAACCTTCATACTGCTTTCCACAATGGTTGAACTAATTTACATTCCCACCAGCAGTGTAGGAGGGTTCCCCTTTCTCCACAACCTCGCCAACATTTGTTATTTGTCTTTTGGATGGTGGAGATCCTAACTGGTGTGAGGTGATATCTCATTGTGGTTTTAATTTGCATTTCTCTGATGACTAGCGATATGGAGCATCTTCTCATGTGCCTGTTGGCCATCTGAATTTCTTCTTTGGAGAACTGTCTGTTCAGCTCCTCTGCCCATTTTTTAATTGGATTATTTGCCTTTTGTTGAGGTGCGTGAGCTCTTTATATATTTTGGATGTCAACCCTTTATCGGATCTGTCATTTATGAATATATTCTCCCGTACTGTAGGGGACCTTTTTGTTCTACTCATGGTGTCCTTTGCTGTACAGAAGCTTTTTAGTTTGATGTAGTCCCACTTGTTCATCTTTGCTTTTGTTTCCCTTGTGAATGGCCTGTATTTCTTCAGGGAGAAGTAGAAGTCCTCAGTGACACATCAGGTGTCCATATGTGACAGCCTTTTGCTGTCCCTTTGATCAGTTCGGTCACTCCTTCCCAAACACGTCGGCACCGTAGAGCGCACTGAGTCTTCACACATGGCCGCCTGAGTGCTTCCCAGGGCCTGGATCTATGGGTTCGTTTCTTTGTTATTGAAGGTGGTTCATTCTCCTGTGTTCCAATGTTTCTTCCTCCACTGTGTCTCCAATCAGATTTTGGGTCATCTCAGTTCCTATCTCTTCTCTCTCATATTTTTATGTTTTCATTTCTCTGTGTTGCTTTCTGGGTTATTTGTTCCAGTGTATCTTTCAATTCACTAATTTTCTTTTTGGTTGTGACTACCTGCCTGTCTTAGCCATCTACTGACACTAAAATTAATGTGGCTGAGATATAAATTACGCACATAAAAATGTGCCAGCGTTAAGTACATAGGTCAGTGAGTACAGCGACATATATACAACCCGGCAGTCACAACCATCATCGGGTCCGAGAGCGCTTTGGTCACCCTAAGTCCTCTCCTTGTGCTCTTTCTCGGTCGACCTCCCTGCCCAATCTGCACTAGCCCCGGACAGCCGCGGCTCTGCTTGGCATCCCTTAGGCCAGGTCTGTCTCGGGGTCACTGGAGTCCTGCAGGCTGTGGTCCTTAGTGTCTGGCTGCCCTGGCGCGTTGTGATGGTTCTGAGATTCATCCATGCCATTGTTTTTATTTCCAGTTCATTAATTTTATTGCTAAGTAGGGTCCCTCTGTGTGGGACACTTCCATTTGCTTTCCTGTTCTGTGGCTGGACATGTGGGTTGTGTCCAGGTTGGGGCTAGTAGGGATAAAGCTGTTGTAAACATACGTGTGGGAGTCTGTGTGGACGTGTGCTTTCCTTTCTTTTGAGTGGGTGCCTAGCAGTGCATTACTGTGTCCTCAGGCCCCTGGCACACGGCTTCCCAAAGTGTGTGGATATACCATTGCACATTCCCAGCAGCAGCAGAGGGGAGTTCCAGCTGCCCCCCATCCTTACGACACTCAGGTTTCCGTTCTTCTTAACTCAGCCGCCCTACTGGTTGTGTGCTGATAGTTAATTGTGGGTTTAACTTGCATTTCCCTGATTACTAAGAAGTTCAAACATTTTCTCATGTGCTTCTTTGCAATTTGTGTGTCTTCTCTGGTTAACGTACTGTTCAAAACCTTTACCTGCCACCTTCTTTTAAGAAAATTGTGTCAATCTTCTTATGAATCCTTAGGACTTTCTATGTATATGGTCAGGTTTTCTGTGACTCGCTTCGGTCGGGTCTGTGCCCTCCATTACAGGATGAGTGCTTTTTGTTTCTTTTTCCTGCCTTCCGGGTGGGCTGCGGCCTCCAGGACAGTGCTGAGTAGAAGGGGCAGAGTGGACCACTGCACCCTGTGTCTGACCTCGGGAGAGCGTTCAGCTTCTCCCCATTAGGAGTGCTGCTAGCAGTAGGTTTCTATATGTGCTCATTACCAGGTGAGGAATTCTCAATTCCAGATTGCTGAGTATTTTTTCTCATGAAGGGGTATTGGATTTTGTCAAATGCTTTTTCCTGCATCAGTTCATATGATTGTGTGATTTTTCTTCCTGTTTTTCCTCTTTGGCCTATTGATAGGGTGGATCGTGTTGATTTTCAAACGTTAATCACCCCCCGACCCTCCCAAGGAAGCCCTGCGCTGCCCGTTCCTCGCTGCTGCTGGCTTGCTGCTGGGCCGACCTTCCCTTTTGTCAGGGACCTTGTCCTCTCTGTGCATGAGCTGGCGGCCTGTAGTTTTTCTTTCTAGCAACACCTTTGTCTGGTTTTGGTATCAGGACAATTCTGGCCTCAAAAACTGGGCTGGTTTGTTCCCTCCTTTTTTAATTTCAAGAAGTGTTTATGTAATATTGATGCTATTTCTTTCTCACGTGTCTGATAGAATTCACCAGTGAAGCCAAATCTAGGACCTAGAATTTCCATTGTGGGGAAGTTTTAATTACATGCTGAAACTTAAAAAATTGATTTCCAAAAAGCTGGCTTGACTCTTCAAATCTGGTTAGTTTTGAGAAACCTGCTTGCCCATTTTTGTGACTCCATCTTTTGTATTTTTAAACATACACAAGTATTTCTAATCCCTAATATTCCTGTGTGTCTGAATCTGGTTTTTCTGTGGACTCTCCTAGTAGCAGGTTTCCTTGTCTGCTTGACTGTAAGAGAGCATATCCGGCTGGTCTTAGTCTTTGGAGGACCTCAGGACTGTGCTGGGGCGCCTTGCTTCCCAGAGGACTGCGTTGGCCAGAGCCGGGTGCTCCTGAGTTAGGGCCCCACTGCCTTCCTCACGGGTCCCTGGCTGTTTTTAGGAACCTAGGGGCCTCCCTCCTCCTTGGGAGCACTCATTCTCAGAGTTACGGCTTCAGGTCAGCTTTCAACTTACTTTTCAGGCAGCTCAGAGATGCCATAGAAGTGAAATATTTGCAAGATCTAGTTGTTCTGAAATGTAAGGCCACTCAAAGTTATCCACTATATTCTTATTCTTACTTTTTTCCAGAACTTTTATCTTTTGTTCTTAATCTCATCTTGAACTAGCTTTTGTACAGGGCACATTCACCCTGACTAGCTATTCTAACCCATGTCAAACCAGCAGACTCCACCTAGGAAGCGTTCACAGTGCGCCAGTCCCAGCTGGGGTCTTGGGTCCTTGAGGGAGGGAGGTGCAGTGTGACTGTTATGGCCCACATTGCACATATGAAGGCACTGCCACTGGAAGGTCACCACCTGCCCAAGGCCTCACCACGCTGGGTGCTGCGCTGCTTCCCCCAGCCTCTGTGAGCCGCTGTGCATATGTGGTCTGTTTCTGGGGTCGATGATGATATAGTGCAGCTGCTCGGTTGCCTGGGTTCGGGGAAAGCTGGGGCCGAGTGGTGAGCAGCCGCACATGGCAGCGGATTCCGCGGCCCTGTCGCGCTCCTCTGGGGCCTGGGGTGCTTTCAGCTGGTGGGGACCTGGGGCCTGCCTCCTGCCTGCTTTGCGGCACCTCCCTCTCTGCTCTGGTTCCCCGCGTTTGCCTTCTCCTTGGCGTCTCTCCCATGCGTTTCCCCAAGAGCTGCTTTCAGCACACGTTTGTCCCGGCCGCCCTCGCTTTGTGAGTTCTGACCCAGAATGGCAGTTGGGTGGGCGGGTCTTTGGGCTGAGCTTAACTCAGACTTGCAAAGAATTAATACGTTAAAACGCTTTTTTGTTCTTGCAGATGTTGAGTGGGCGCACTGTGTTCTGACAGCCGTTCCCTGGAGGACAGAGGCTCAGCGGCCTTTGACACGGACCAGCGGCGCCTGTGCAGGAGCCTGTCCCTGCCGGCTCCGATGGAGAGCCCCGCCGCCCTGACCACCCCTGAGCCCAGCAAGCCCTCGTCCTTGGCCAACAGACACCTGAGCAGAAGGAATGGGCTTTCAAAACTCTGCCAGAGCAGGATGGCTCTCTCTGGTAACCCCCCCCGCCGGGTCACTGTGGCGCCAGCATTGAAAGTGAACACGTGGAATCACCTTTGGCTCTGTTCGGTTTTTCTGTTCTTGCTGGAAGATGGCTTGTTTCGGCCCACGTGGCTGGACCCTCCCTGCCGGACTTGTTCTTCTGTGATTCTTAGGCACAATACTCTCCTTTTTAGGCCATGTTGGAATTCACTGCCATGTTTCAGGGGCAAATTAGAGCAAAACATTATTTCTTGTATCAGACAGTGTGAGATGCTGTCCTGGGCTGCATGGCAAGCAAAATCCAGTTTTGCTAAATTAGCTCTAAATATTTACTGACCATGTTGCAGTTCACGCTTTCCTCCCTGACATGGACAGTCACCCAGACTTGAGCACAGCCGACCTCACATGTAGGTGGCGGGCAGCAGGCAGCAGTGTCCCGGGCTGAGTGGACAGCTGCCGGTCGCCTCCTGTCACCTGCCCAATCACTCCTGGGTGCCTCAGCACCCAGGTGGCCTGGAGCCTGAGGGAGGGGCTGCAGGGGAAGCAGGTGGGACCTGTCCTGCAGGGAGGGGGAGGAGGTGGATGGATGGGGAAGGACAAGGACGAGGAGGACGATGATGGCTCCGCCTGGTGGGACAGAGCTGGCCGCCCGGGGCCTGTCCTGAGGTGCAAGGAGGGGCCGAGCCTTGGGTCTGGCTGCCTGGGAAGAGGAGGGCCAAGGCAGAAGGGGGCGGGTTCCCTGCTGCAGGAAACGGCCTGAGCAGGCCCATGAACTGAGAAGGTCGGAGTGTCCTTGATGAAGGACTCAGAGGGAAGGGAGGGAAGAGTCAGGTCTGTGCTTGGAAGGGCGGAATTGACGTTAACTGAGATGAGAAAGAGGGCAGTAGGCAGCCGGGCCCCCGGGAGGGGTCGGGGCTCAGGTGCCGGTGTGGGCTGTCAGCACATTCCTGTGGGAAGTGTTCTTAAAGCCACAAGGAGTGGGTAGGACGAAGCAGAGTGCTGAGGCTGAGCGTGGGGCCCTGCTCTGGTGAGGGGTCAGGAAGGCGAGTGGGGCTGCTCTGCTGGGGGCAGTGGCTGAGGAGGCCCTCGGTGCCCAGGGTTGCTGGGGGCAGGGGAGGGGGAGTAGATTTTCTGGAACAGCAGGGCGAATGGGACAGTAAGTGGGGGATGGAAAGGAGGTGGGGGAGACAATAGGTAGCTCTTGAATTTGGGACTTTCCAGGAACAAGTGACGGATTGGGCAATAGCTGGAGAGGACGGCAGGTGAGGGCACCCCTTGGAGAGGGCGCCGGAGGGGCCTCAGAGTATTACCTACTCAGAAATGTTACCCTGGGGCCATTTGTGCTTCAGATGGGGCATGTCTCCATGGCCACAAGGCACCTGGTGGTGGCTTAGGTGGACTCTGGGACCATTCAGACTACCAGGGTGTGAATCAACCCTGCAGGTTCATGTAACCCTGGGTTCCTTTTGCAGGCGCTGGGGGCAGGGCCTGAACGCTTTGTGTGTTTCAGAAGCGAGACCCTGGCAGCCATATGAGGGCTAAAGCTTCCTTTCCTTCTCTTTCCAGAAGACAGATGGAGCTCCTACTGCCTGTCATCATTGGCGGCCCAGAATATCTGCACAAGCAGACCGCACTGCGTGGCTGCTCCTGAGCCAGTGGCCCTGGCGGGGTCGCTGGGCAGCGCATCCTGCTGCTCCCCGCCGGGAGGCTTGTCCTCGGGGTGGTCTACGCCCCTGCTCCCGTCCCCCATGTATAACCCGAACAAGGCTGTGTTCATTGTGGACGCCAAGACCACAGAGGTATTTGCTTCGATCTGTGACCCAGCTGTGAGTTGGGGTCTGTGCCTTCACCCTATAACCCCAAACAGAGGAATTAGTGTTTAAAGTGCAATTAGAAAATGCCTGGCTTTGCCTGCATAGTAGTGAAAGGGATGAATTTGGAGACCTAAGTATGAATCAACTAAAACCATTTGAGTCCTTATCAAGACAGACTGAAGGAAAGGGGATGAAGCACATTCTTGACTCGTGCCAACGTGCTGCTTAGCTAAATAAGGGTGGGTGCTCAGTATCTGAATTACATGTGTTTGTGTAACACCCATTTATATACAAATAACTGACACGGGCAGATGGGTAGGAAGTGTGGTATAGCCCTCATGTCTTCTGCATGGTTGTGATGGCATGGCGTGCCCGCCTCGGCAGGTGGAGGACATGTGTTTCCGGTTCTGGCAACATCCAGTGCACTGACCCATGGACGTTCTTGTTTCCATGCCCTCGAGATCCCAGAAGACCCGTGGGTGCCCCTGCTGTGAGCTCAGCCACCGCAGAACACTGCGGGAGGCCGGGTCTCTGGACCATCCCTGGGGCCCGTGCCACCTTCTCCTCAGCTCTGGTGGTGCTTATGCCCCTCTCTGCCACCTGCAGATCCTGGTTGCCAGTGACAAAGCTTGCCAGCTGCTGGGGTACAGCAGCCATGACCTGATTGGCCAGAAGCTCACACAGTTCTTCCTGAAGCCAGATTCTGACATGGTAGAGGCCCTCAGCGAGGAGCACCTGGAGGCTGACGGCCGCGCCGCCCTCGTGTTCGGCACAGTGGTGAGTGCAGAGCTCACTGACAGCGCAGCCGGTTGCCGGCCACCTCAGTGGCAGGAGCAGCTGGGTGGTGGGCAGCAGGCGTCAGAGGGACAGGAGCGGTGTTGCCGGGGCTTGGCATGAGGGCAGTGCAGGATGCGGGAGGGGACTGACCTGCGTTTGGCAGACCTGCAGGCTGCCACCTGGGCAGCATGAGTTCACGTCCCCACCTTCTGTCTGGTTTCGGTTGGAGGGGCCACGTGGCTGGGAGGGTTTCCTGGGGCGTTGAGCCTCCCCGTGTGACGTCTCCCGCCCGACACCCCCCTGACCAGCTCTGTGGTGCCGAGCCCGGAACCGCAGGCACCAGAAGAACCGAGAAAGCTGCCTGCTCAGGACCGGCTCCCAGAGGAGCGCTGGCGGCCCCGCACTGGGCCCGCCTCCTTAAGCGCTGCCAAGCTTTTCCTGCTGTGTCTCTGGGAAGCTGAGGACGGAAGGTTCTCTTCTGAGAGAGTGTGTGCACAGAGATTGAAAGGCTGAGCGTCAGACGCCTTGCTTCGTAGTTGGTCGACTTCTGAAGTGTGAGGCAGCTGAGCAGGGGTCCAGACACCCTGCCGGGGCCCCGGGGGACTTGGTGGCAGCCCCCAGCCAGGCGTGGGCCCCTCTCTGCCCACAGGTGGATGTCCTGAGCCGCAGTGGGGAGAAGGTCCCAGTCTCCGTGTGGATGAAGAGGGTGAGGCAGGAACATAGCTCGTGCTGTGTGGTCGTGCTGGAGCCTGTGGAGAGGCTCTCGGCCTGGGTGGCTTTCCAGAGCAATGTGAGTTTGTGTTCAGTTTCTCAGCGGCACGTGGCTTCACCACGTGCCACCCCTCCCAGTGCAAACCGTGTTCTCACTGGGAGCCTTGAGGGAGGGCTCTGAGGGCTGCGCCTCTTGCTGAAAGTGTGCGCTTGGGCAGGGACCTGACTATCCCAGGCCTCGGCTGTGAATCAGGATACAATCGCACCCACTCACAGGGTTGCCTCACCCGTCAGTGAGGTGACGTATGCAGAGCGGTGGCTGGCAGGCAGTGCTCAAACGCAGGCCGTGGCCGTGGGGGTGGCTCTTGTGATCAGTGGCTCTTGGGTGCGGGGCCTCTGCGGAACGCCCTGGGGAGCCAGTAGTGCGGGTACACCCGGCAAGAGGGGGAGAGGGCATCCTTGACAGGCGCTTGCCGCCTCTCGTGCTTGGGGAATGGGGCATGTGAGTGGTCTTGCTTTGAGCGCTTCAGGCTTCGTGAAGTTTAAAGCTGACATGCAAGAAACTTGTACTGTATCACTGAAAACACTGGTTTTTCCTCCAAGGGAACCATAACATCATGCGACACTCTTTTTGCTCATCTGCACGGGTATGCATCCGGGGAGGAAGTGACCGGGCAGCCCATCACAGACCTGATCTCTTCTGTGCAGCTCCCGCCTCCTGGCGAGCACATCCCGAAGGTAGGACCCCTGCCTGCTGCAGCACGTGGCTGTGGCTGGGCCAGTGGCCACTGGAGTCTGTTGCTCTGGTGGCATCAGGCTCTTAGAGCTGGAGACATAGACTGGGCTTCCTGACAGCAGGAGTGTCCCCCATGGGACGGTGGGGCTGGACCGACGAGAACACTCTGGGATCTGAGCCTGTGACCAAGGGTCAGAGCCTGTGTGGCTCCCCAGCTGACTGTGCTGTCCCCTCGGTCCTCCCCTTGGAGCATGCAGGGGGCACCTGTGGTGTCCCTTTTTGTGGAGCGGTCTGGGGGCCACGAGGGGCAGGGAGGATGGCTGACGGGGCTCCCCTCAGGCAGGTGGAGGGCCAGAAGGGGGATGGTGGGCAGCTTTAGGGGACAGTGGAGGTTTGGGGTGTGGGTGGAGGTTCGTTAACAGCTGAATCCTCCCAAGTGCCAGGCCGGACAGCTGTGTTTGACCGGTAGGCTCTGCCGCTGCAAGAAACAAGACCCCTTCCGGACCCCGTTGGCACCCCTGGCTCTCTGGCCTCAAGCTGAGAGCAGAGGCTCTGGAGCTGTTCGTTTGCTGCTTTCAGTCTTCCGGCTTGATTGGAAGCCCCTCCCCAGCCCTTATTTTCTCTGTGCCTTTTAATCTTTCCTAAAGCCGTAGCCTCTTGGCCCCCAGGGCTGGTGGGAGCATCCTTTAGTACAACCGATTTGGGACAGTGTTTGGCAGTGTCTGTTCCATCTGCACACAAGCAGACCTCTGACCACGCCAGGCCCTACCTGAGGGACATGCGCTGGAGGGCACATGTGAGCGTATTCTCTGCATGTTTGGGACAGCCACATACGGGAGCCACCCCACACCCCCAGGGCCGAGGAGACAGGGCTGACGGGGGTCACTGGTTCTGACCTGTTCTGGTGAAGCAGGAGCTCCCGCACATGCAGGCGCGTGCCTAGGACACAGGCCCCTGTATGCCTCGAGTCGTACAGGCTGCACCCCTAAACAGAGGGGCAGGTGGGATGGGTGAGGGATGGGCACAGGCTCTGGCCAGCTTGCCGTCTTATGAAGCCAGTAAGGGAGAAAGCCCTCAAAGCCTTTGGTTAGGAACACTGCTTCAGTCAAGCTGTGCTGAGGAAATGGGATACATTCCAGGTACTGAAGGCAGTGAACCATATGCAAGGACTTGAGGCAGACGGGGGATGGCCAGTAGCGGCAGGCAGCTGCTGCCCCCGGGGCTGGAGGAGGGAGGATGGAGTGAGGGACCAGATGCCAGTCCAGTCCTGGCGCCTTCCTCCATTGCCCTGGGTGTGCCGCCCTGGGGCTGCTGTGGAGTGGGGGGGGCAGCTGCTGGACTGTGTCCCCTGCCCCAGCCATGGCTCCAGGTCAGGGCTCTGGCTCCCGGGGCGAAGGTGGGGTGCAGGCAGATGGAGAAAGAGTGGCGTGGGCATCGGGTGTCCCAGGGGCGTGGGGTGGGTCTTACTCCAAGCAGCAAACACTCAGAGCTGGGCCCCGTGATGCTGCTACAGCTCGGCGGTGTGTCTTTCTTTCAGAATCTCAAGATTCAGAGGTCTGTTGGAAGGGCCAGGGATGGCACCACCTTCCCCCTGAGCTTGAAACTGAAATCCGAACCAAGTGGCGGGGAGGCAGAAGGCAGGCCGGCATACCGGGCCTCTGTGTGGGTCTTCTCCACTGTCAGTGGCCTCATCACCCTGCTGCCCGATGGCACCATCTACGGCATCAACCACAGCTTCGCACTGGCGCTGTTTGGTTATGGGAAGACGGAGCTCCTGGGCAAGGTGCGCTCTGGGCTGCCAGAGTGTGTGCCTTGCAGGGAAGCTGGTCTGCTCAGACCACGAGGGGGCGTGTTGGTCCTGCGCCTTGTGCCTCCACGTCTTTGGTCCAGCAGGGCCCCCCCAGCCCGCCTGCATGTGCTTCTCTGGGCCCGCATCCAGTGTTCTGTGTCCCTCTGGGCTTTCTCCAGAGCCCCTGGCATTTGTTGTATGCGACCAGCTGCCCCAGGAGAGGCCTGTCCTCACCTCCTCTGACTGTCCTGGGGGCCGTGGTCGGGGCAGGGGAGGTGTTCTATGACCTTCTTCCCTGATGAGCTTTCTCAAAATTCTTTGAACACAGGGAGGTGGAAGTCTCCATATCCCAGGAGCCAGGCCCCCCAGGGGTGTCGACTCCCTTTTTTCTTATCTAAGACTGCTAAGCAGTCCAAACTACCACAAGCTTAGTGGCTAAAACACAGCAGTCATGTATTTTTGACACAAGTCTGCCTTTGGACCGAGCTTAGTAGGACAGCTCATCCCGTTCCATGTGTGGTCGGCTGGGGTTGTGTCCTCCCTGGGCTCATCCGCTCGTGTGTTTGGCCAGTGGGGACCATGGCTGGGGCCAACGTCAGGACCCCCTCCAAGAGCTTGGTGACCGGGCTCCAAGGGCCACCTTGGAGTGCCCCTCCTTGGTCCCTGCGGTCTTCTGGGCCCCTGGGGAGGGGACTCAGGCCCCCACTTGATGGAGGAGGGTCCTGGGGGAAGGAGGGGCTGCTGTGTGGCACATTGCTCTTGAGGCCAAGCGGCCCCACCCTGACGGGCCTGGCTCCTGGGTACAGGAACCCTGAAGCCTTTCCCAAGCGCCTTGGCCACCACAGGCCTCTGCAGGTGCGGCAGCAGCCGTTCCGTCCTGGCCCTCCTGCCGTGCTGATCCCACGCCCTGAGACAGCTAGCCTGTTTTCACCTCTTTTTGAGGCTCCAGAAACAGGCCCCTCTCTGTCCTCTGATAAAAAGAACAGGAAGCAAGTAAGCTGACTTTTAGTTATGCTGAACCAAACGAGGTTTGGTTGTAGTTCATGAAAACACGTCTAGCATAGTTTCTGGATGAAGAGTCCCACGGGAAGGCCGAGGGTGCCGGGCCCCCCAGGGAGCGGGTGTGTTCCGGGCTCGCGGCTGCCCGGCCAGCAGGAGTGGGGGCTGCTCGTGGGTCTCCTGTGCAGGACATTCGCTCGTGCAGCTCCTGGGCCGGGCCCTTCACGCTGCAGCCGTGGTTGGACCCTGTGCCTGGGCTCTTCTCCTTTGCACTGGGGTGCACGTCCCTGAGACTTGATTTAGGTGCACTTCGCAGACGTGCTCTAGGCTGAAGGAGAACATGGGGTGGAAGCTGATGTGTCCATGGAAGCCAGTAGGTGTTAGTGTAACTGGCTTCAGAGTGCGTTAGTACTGTCTTTTTCATAAGAAAAAGGGGAAATAATGAATTCCATGCCGAGCCTCAGAGGGGCTTTGGGGCTGTCAGAAGGAACTGGACCCAGGGTCTTTCCTACCTCTTCTGGAGGCTTCTTCACATTTTCAATGTCTCCCCAGACTGGGCAGTGGGACCGTCCTGTGGGTCAGTGTGAAATCTTGTCAGTTCTGAAATGTCGATGTTTGTTTTCTAGAATATCACCTTCCTGATTCCTGGTTTCTGCCAATACATGGACCTTGTATATGACAGCTCCTTACCACTGCCAGACCTGGCCGACTGCCTGGACACTGCCACCCAGAGTGGGCCTGGGGAGGTGACCGTGGGCCCCCAGCAGGACCAGAGCCCAGCTGGTGGTGAGACCCGGCTGCCCTGCCCCCAGGCCCCAGGGAGAGAGGAGGGGGCTCTGGGTGACCTGGAGCGGCTGCTGGGCTGCCATGGGGACCCTGTCTGTGTGGTTTGATGTCCCTCTCTCTGCCTCTTGTGTGCTGTGTGTTCCTAGGGGATGGGAAATGTATGGGAGCCTCACAGATGTGTCGGCACGTGGAGGAGGACTGGAAGTCCCCAGGATGTCACCACAAGCCTGTGTGTGGGACCCAGTAGCTAAATGGCGGTCTTCATTTTAAATGGAGCATGTGGGCCAGCAGCCTGGTCACTGCTGTCCTGTGGGAGGGGACAGAGGAAATGGAATGAGAAACTGCCAAGTGCAGGCCGGGACACAGCGGGGGGGAGAGAGGCTGCTGGCCTGGGAGCGTGCCCGCGGGGAGCCAGAGGTGGTCGGGTGGGACGCGCTGAGAAAGGCGTGGGGAGAGGGCTGATGGCGTTTGTAAGATCAAGCCGGGCCCCCCGCCTGCTGCTCAGAGGAGGCCCGTCCCGGCAAGGTGTGCCTGCCAGTGCGTGACACTCTCTTCTGGCATTGCTGCTAGAGTCAGCGGCTAACACCACACTTGCTGGTGGCCGTGTCCTGCTGAGAGGTGAGGTGCTCAAGCCTGTGGGAAGCCAAGAAGCCTTCACTGGGACCCAGGCCCCGGCCACTGGAGGCCATCGCCCTTCCTCCTGCCCAGCTCCGCCCACTCTGGGGTAAGGTCTGTAGGGAGCAAGACAGTGCACTGAGGGGGAGGCAGGTGGCAGGCAGATGAGGACTCGCTGGAGGGCAGTGTCAGCCACACGGCGGGCAGGCTAGCGTTCGGGGTGCCTGCAGCAGGCTGACCAGGGCAGACTTTGTGAGACACTCCCTGTCTGTGGACAGGAACTGTGTAGGGCCCAGGGAGCTAATATCAGCAGGATTTTCTCACCTTCAAAATCTGTTCTCTTTGTGCATTTTTAAATAACAAAGTATTCTATCTAGAGTAGAGGAAGTCCATGTTAGAAAATCTGGAAAATTTGAAAAAGTAGAAATAAAAAATCCACTGTTCAGTTATCGTCCTGTTCTGCAAAGCATTTCGGTGTGTTTTCAGTTCTAAAAATCTCTGCAGCGTAGCGCCCAGGAACGGCCAGACTTGCTGCGTGCATGCCCCTCCCTGCTCTGGCCCAAGAGGCACCCGCTTCCTTCCTGCTCAGCTCCCCTCGCGACCCTGTGACCAGGATGGGGGTCAGAGCTGCCTGTCCTTGAATGTGACCTGTGCATGCCTAGGTCTGGCTTCTTCTGCCCTTGGTCATGCCTGTGAGGTTGATCTGCATTGTGCTTTCCAGTCTTCTTGAAATACGTAAAAATATGTCTCCGGTGAGCAGGTGTATTTCAAGAGAATGGTGGTGAGAGGCACAAGCCCCATGCTCGTGTCCTGCCTCCCCTAGAGGGGCTGCTGTGCCAGCTCTGCTCTTCTGGACCCCCTTCCCTGTGCATCGGACACATGTGTTTGCTCAGGCATGTCTGCTTTTGGTCCTATAACGCAGATAGGTGTGCACTGTGCACATGTATGCACATACGCATGCACTCACACACACCCGAGACCCGTGCCCAGCTCCACAGTTGACGAGTTTCCCCATGGATGGTTGCTGCCTGGCTTCTGCCCGCTCCCCTGTGGTCTGAGCCGTGTAACTTGCGGGTTCCTCTTGTGGGGTGCCCAGCAGCGGCTCCTCGGTAGGTGTGGTCCAGCGCCATGCAGCCTGCAGTCCCCTCGGTGCCAGGCCAGAGCTTGTTTTCGGGTTGTGCCATGAGGAAGTTCCACCGGGCAAGCCGCTCCACGTTTGCTCTGGATCGGTCATGCTCGCCTGCTGACCTGAGGTTGGCTGGCGCCTATAGACAGCCCGCGGAGGACCACTGCCCCCTCTCACCTGCCGCCTGTCGCCCTCCCAGTCCTCACTCTCACTCACTGGCCCACTCACGGATTTCACTCAACTAAACATCACTAAAGACATGAAGGCTCGTCCCTAGAACTAGGCTGAGAGAGTCAGTGAGGCTGGGACGTGGGAAGGCAGGAAGCCTGATGCGGAGTGGCTGGGTCCCGGGCGCTGGTCAGTGCCCTTGCTGGGTGCACCCTGCGGCTCTCCTAGTTCGCCTGGCACTCAGCCCTGTTGTGTTCAGGCAGTTGATGCCGAAGCCAATGGTGTTAGAGTGTCGATCAGGTGCTGAGACCTTGAGTGAAGCACCCAAACAAGCCGGTGGGGGCCTCGGGTCCCCGCGGCGCTGCTGCTGGAGGCCCTGCTGCCTTGGGGCTGAGCTGGGGCAGTTGAGGGGCAGGGAGAAGAGGGGCCTCACTTGCCCTTAAAGGCTCTCTTGAAAGCCCCACCCTCACCTCTCCACCTTAGCCAGAGGTCAGTGACACTGCTGCGTCTGGCCACTGGGGAGGGAAGGAGGTGGTGGGGTGCAGAGCCGCCCTGGGCCTGACCCCTCACCTCACCCATGTCCGAAGGGTGCCTGCCTGCCCGAGGCCTGGCCCACACCCATATCAAAGGGATTGCCCGCACTGCTGGCGAGAGGGTTGAGACCCTCCTGCCTCCTCGGCTGGCCCTGCAAGGGGCGTGCAGCTCCCTGGACACTGGCACAGGGCTGGTCTCCTGGCATGGGATGGATGGATGGAAGCAGATGACCTTTACCTGGGTCTGCAGACCCTCGTCTGCCCTTCAGCTGCTCCAGAAAGCCTCTGCTCTTCCTCCACCAGCAGCTCCTCTGTGGAGCCCTCCTTGCTTTGGGCTCCTCTCTGCCCTGCCTCCTTCCAGACCTCGGCAATCCCATTTGCCAGACGGCTGGCATGTTTGCCGCATTCTGATGGTCTTGGTGCTGGCCTCTGGCCTTGGACAGCATAAGGCAGGTGCTCAGCAGTCTGTCCCGTGGGACTGCGGAGGCGTGGCCAGCTGGAGGGGTGCTGGCCCTGGGGAGGCCTGCGGGTGCCTGCCTGGGCTGTGGCGGCCTCTCCCTCTAGGGCCCCGTGCTCAGTGTGTGTGCTTTGTGCTCTGGCTCCTGGGCACTAGTGAGCCCCCCACCTGTGAGGCTCCCTGCTCCTGCCCGCACCTGCCCTCTCTGAGCCGTGTCCCCTTGGCCGTGAGGGCCGGTGCATTGGTAGCCGGTCAAAGTTTAACCCTGTGCAGTGCTGGGAACTCTCAAGTCCCTGCTGTCCTTTCCTCCCCCTTCCTGAGGCACCCTGTGGATGGCTGAGGTTGCCCAGCCTGGATGCCTTACTCATTTCAGGGGACATGCTAGCCCCTGAGTGTATGACCCGGGGTGCTCGGTGGCATTCTTTGGTAAATCATTGCTCAATGTGGATTTATATGGAGATTCTGTGAGTTGCTGCTTTATTTTTTAATTTTGTTACAAAATTTAATTTTTTTCTCTGTCATAGTTTATGGTGTGAAATGCTTTGTGCTCATGTCCAATAGAGGGGGGTCCATGTGATCCTTTAACCCTTCTGTGGCCCTTGAGTAACTAGGTCATCTGTATTACAATCTCTAGGGTGGGCAGCATCCCAGAAGGATGCCCCCCAGCCCAGGAACAGTCATTATCTGAGGACCAGCAGAACATCCTGGAAGGAAGCCCGCCAGCCCACAGCCAACAGTCATGGCCCCAGGACCAGCGGAACCCTGGCTTGGGGAAAGAGGAGCCCCTGGCAGTAGGGAGCTCCCGAGAGACCCTTCGGGGGGAAAGTGGGTCTGACCCAGTGGACACAAAACTAGGTGCTTCCCATGAACATCCTGCAGCTCCAGGGCCAGCTGAGAACAGGGGCAGGAGTGTTGACACACACGGCCTAAACCAGGAAGCCCAGCTAGGACAGATGGGTCTGGGCAGTGCCAGCAGTTCAAGCCACAGATCTGATGCTGCCTGTCAGCTGGCTGCCCATCACCACCCACCTGCACCTGCACAGCGGGGAAGCCCGGGCCCCACCCGGACTGTGCAACTCTTGTGCCCCATGCCTGCTTTGGATGAGCAGGGAGCCTTGGGCAGCCATGAAGAGCTGCACACGTGCTTCGTCAGGGAGCAGCTGTCCAAGCCGAGCTCGGTGGGACCTCAGGGCGTCTCCTACACAGAGCTGCCCCTGGCAGAGCAGCCCCTGCTCCCTGCCCCCGTGTCGCTGTACAACCTGGGTGGCAGAGACCTGCACAGAGGCCGCTCTGGCAGCTCCTCGGCCTGCTATGCCCTAGCCACGGACCTCCCTGGCAGCCTGATCGAAGTGGAGGCCTCAGAGGCCAAGGAGAATTCCTTTACCTGGAACCTCAAGGAGCTCTTCCTCAGCGTGGGGACAGACTGCACCTCCTCACACTGCCCCTGTACCACGTCTGAGCTCCTGGACAGCCCCTCTCCTTCGCGGGGAGGCTCCGGTGTAGACCTGAGCAGTTTGCACGGGCAGAGGCCAGATGTCCTGGACGACAGAGAGCTGTTGCTGCTGACAGGCACGCGCTTCCAGCCCCGTGTGCGCTGTTTGGGACACAGTCGGGCAGAGCTGTCTGAACCTTGTTCAGCGTCCTCTGTACACTATGGAGGGAGTGGCAGAGAGAGCCCAGGCCACGTGCCCCCCATGCTGGGGGCCAGCCCAGGGGATGTGTGCCCACCGTACGAGCCCGGGCAGGGCATCCAGGTCACCTCCACTCCTGTGAGAGGGGCCAGCTCAGTGACTCCTGGGGCAGCAGGCCTGCGACATGACATTCAGGAGGGCACCTACTGTGGGAGCTGCTACCACCGCGACGGCTTGCAGCTGAGTATGTCCCAGCGCGGGGAGAGAGGTCCCTGTCCCCAGCTGGGGCGTGTCCCATGCATTCCCTGTCAGGCTGCCTGTAGAGTGCAGAGCAGTGGGGTGTCGGGGCTCCCTGGTCCTGGGCTCTGAGGAGGCATCGTCCCCCACTTGGTTTTGGCAGAGATGATGTATTTAAGAGCCTGCCGTCATCATTCACCTCTTGAGAATCAGGATTCCAGGCGTATGTGCCTAGGAAGGCAGGATCCCGAGGTCCCAGCACCTCCCTGCCCCTTCTCGGAGCTGCTGTGTGCGGCGGGGGCCTGTCACGCCGTGGGGAGGTGCATGGCCGAGGTGTCTGCGCTGGCACTCCTGTGCGTTGGGGTCCGGGCCGCTCTGCTCTCTCGGCCGCCTGCTGGGGCTGGGTGTGAGGACCAGGCCCCTTGGCTTGCCTTTGGAAGTGATGCTTTCACTTCCCTTTTTGTTTTCCTGACTTTTTAACAGGTCCAAGTTCTAGCATCTGTTCCCTTATTGTCACTCTTGTGGTGGACTTACTAGGGCTGTTTTCCTAGACTTTACTAAGTCATAGAAATACTAGGAAACCAACAGAAGAAAAAAATAAAATCACCTGTAACAGGCCCAGCCCCCTGACAGAAAAATGCCGCATTTTAGTGTATACCCAGGAGGCCCATGAAACAAATTACATGTATAAACACACAAGTGCTCTATGCACGCTTGTGTGTGTAGAGCTTAAATGGCATGTGTGCGGTTTCAGTAGAGGCTGGCCACGTTCCTGTCACCCGGATGCGTAAACCCCAGTGTGTAGGGCTGTGGTGAAGGCAGGCTCTGCGGGCTTTCCCGAGGTGGCCGGCGGCCGCAGGTCTCTCCCTCACCTCTGGCTGCCCCCATGGACAGCCGAGCTGCGGCCCGCGTGTCCTTTTGCTGCCTACCCTCTGTGGCGTCCCCTGTGCACGCAGAGGGCCCTCTGAGTATGGAGCTGTGCTCTGGTCCCCCGCAGGCGTGCAGTTTGAGGTGAAGCGGGTGGAGCTCCACGGCTCCGCGGCATTGTTCTGCTGCTGGTTGGTGAAAGACCTGCTCCACAGCCACCGGGACTCAGCCACGCGGACCCGCCTGCTGCCCGCCACCCTGCTGAGCCCCGCGCACTCTGTGCCCGAGCTGCCTGCACCCAGCCCAGGCGAGGTTGGTACTGCCAGCAGCCTCACCTGTTCTCCTTGCCTTTCTCGGTGGAGACCCTTACCCATCAGCACCTGTTTCTCCTGGGATGGGAAGAGGGTCTCTGCAGCCTCCTTTTGACGCTGCCTTCTGATACCCTGTGGAAGTGTTAGCCCCACGTAGGATTTTAAATCTGTACTTGCCTGTGAGCAGGGTAGTGTGTGAATGCGTCTCCACACAGGTGCAAGTTTGCACTGATGTGTTGAGGCCGCATGGAGAGCCCACAGAAAAAGGGTGTCAGGCCGGGCACTCTCAGGCACAGGGGGTGGGGAAAGGCAGCTCAGGGTAGGTGCTGCGCCCACGGGGCCTGCGTGCCCACGGCCTCCTGCCCTGTATGGCTGCCTGCGCTCCCTCGGACCTTCCTGTGCATTTGCAGATGCTCAGAACCAAACCCTGGTTTGAGGAGCCTCCCAAGGCCATCGAGCTGGAGGGGCTGGTGGCCTGTGAGGGTGCATACACCCACAAGTACAGCACGCTGAGCCCCCTGGGCTGTGGGGCTTTCGGCTTTGTGTGGACTGCGCTGGACAAGGAGGAGGATAAGGAGGTACGGGGCTCATGGAGAGGAGGGGGCTGGGTCCCACGTCACGTGGCTCCATGCCTTCAGTCCCTTTGTGTCTGAACTCTGGGACCGTCGAATTAGGGTAGGAGGCCCCTGCCCAGCACCAAGCACACAGCCTGGGTCAGGAACAGCGCGCACATTCACCCCTGGCTGCCCTGTGCTCCCCGCCAGGGCACCGGCAGACTCACCCCTGTAATGCACCCAGGGGCTGACATCTTAGTTTCCAGCTGGCTCCCTGCAAGGAGCCTTCCTGTGTCTCAGCTCCACAGCCATTCGCACTGTCCCTCTTCCACAGGAGCCTCAGGCCTCGCTGTCTCTCCCTCCCCCACCCGCTGTGGGATGGGACCTGTCGTTGCTGGGGCATTTCTGATTGGGGAACTGATATGGTGACGGGCTGCCTGACCCTGCGAGTGCTGTCGGACAGCCCGGGAGTCCGTATCCTGGCCTGCCATTCCCGGGAGGCCCTGTGTGTGCCTCTGTCCCCTGCACCACTCACCACTAGGGCTTATCGAAGCTGTGAGCCGGGGGCGACGTGCATCTGCACTGGAGTCCCATGGCTCTGATTCTCACGGGTCCTCTCTGACCGTATGGACCGATGATGGTTCCCCTGCCTGCAGGGACGGTTTGTCCCTCCTCCCTGCTGTCCGTCCTCCTCACCCCTTTGCCTTCCCTGCCACGCTGGCCACAGGACCCGCAGAGCCATGGTCAGTAACAGGCATGTGGCCAGGGCCCCTGTGCCTGTCGATGACAATGCTGCTTTTATATCTTGATGGACACCTTCTGTTTGAGGATATTTTGTTTTATTTTCAGCTCAGTAAAGTTTTTTTAAAAGAGTGAATGTTGAGTTATGAAATGTCATTTCTATTGAGGTGACCATATCCTCATATTTGTTATATTAATACAATGAATGACACTGATCAACTTACCTCTGTAGAACCCACCTTGATTATGTTATAGTTCTTGTACTGCATTGCTGAGTTTGCTGTGTTAATATTTTTATCTGGGACTTTTTTCATTTATATTCATACATGAGTTTTTTCTTTTTTTTTTTAATGTCAGAGTTATGTAAGGCTGCAGGGCAGGCGGGGCTGTGGCACACTGGCCACATGGTACATGCGTGGTGGTGTCCGTGACCACGTGAGGCTGCAGGGCAGGCAAGGCTGTGGCACACCGGCCACGTGGTATGTGCGTGGTGGTGTCCGTGACCATGTGAGGCTGCAGGGCAGGCAAGGCTGTGGCACACCGGCCACGTGGTACGTGCACATCAATGTCTGTGGCCACTTACGTCCAAAGAATTGTCTGTTCCAGGCATCAGCTATTTTTTTGGTTTTCTATAAGTTTCCTTTCTTATACTTCCTGTGAGTTAATTTTGCTATTTTTCTAGCTTAGCAGACTGAGTTAATATTTTTTAAGTTATTACTTAATAAACATGTTCATGGTCGTGGGTTTTCTTTGTCCACTTGGGTCACATCCTAAAGGTTCTGACATTTGCTGCTCTTGTGTTATGTGTTCTTAAGAGTCTGATTCTGAAGCTCGTGTTGTTACCTCTTCCCATTCGTGGTTTGAGTCAGGAATCGGGTGGGCTCTAGGATTTCCTTAGACCTGATACCTGAAGGAAGAAGAAAGAAGCCCCAATTTCCCTTGGTTTAAAAAGAAGCACACATATGTCTGCCTTTCAGAAACCAAAGATGACAATCTGAATATTGCCAGGCCGATACATTGTGCAGTAAAGCAACTGATCAGTGGGTATCTTGCTTGCGGGGACCACATCGGGCTCCACGGGGCAGAGCGGTCCCTGTGCTTGAGTCTGGGGTCAGTCTGGGGGCCGCTGCATCGTGACACTGTCCTTCCTGTGGCCTGCGAACATGGGGCATCCTCTATTTGTTGCACTGTCTTTGATTTCTTTGAACAATGTTTTATAGTTTGTATTGTACAAGTCTTGTCTTTCTCTTGTTGATTCTCTTATTTTTACATCTGGTTTCTTCTCCTTGTTTATTATTCATCTGCTGGAATATGTTTATGGGGTTTTCTAGGAAGAATGCATGGGCATCACACTTTGCGTCCTTATATGCGTTAAAAGGTGTTTATTTTTCCCTCATATTTTGGTGGTGATGTACCATTTTTTTCCCTCTCACATTTTATCCATTAGCATTATTTCGAAGTAAATTTTCCTACCAGCAACCTAAGGGTTTTCTTTCTGTTTATTTTTTATTTTTTATTTTTAATCTTTGGGCTTCAGAAATTTTACCAGCATGTATTTCTATGTGTGGGGGTTCTTGCTTCATACTTGGTAAGACTTTGGTGTGAACGTGTACAGCTTTCCTTACCTCAGGAGAATTCCATTCTTTTGTGCTGTTAACCCTTTCCTCTGGCTCTGAACTGTCTTCTGAAGCTCCTCAGGTGGGCGCTGGTGCTCGTGCGGGCGGTCCTCCTCCTCCGCGCACCCTCTGCAGTCTGCCTCCGAAGCCTGAAGGCGGCGGCCGTCTCTCCTGTAAGCCTCCGAACTCGAACTCATGCCAGAGCCAGCTCCTCCCGGCCGGCTCCCCGTGCCCTGTCCCCACGCTCTGTCCCCGTCCCTCTCCATCATCCCCCGGCTCCCTGGGCTCTGTCCCCACGCTCTGTCCCCGTCCCTCTCCATCATCCCCCGGCTCCCTGTGCTCTGTCCCCACGCTCTGTCCCCGTCCCTCTCCATCATCCCCCGGCTCCCTGGGCTCTGTCCCCACGCTCTGTCCCCGTCCCTCTCCATCATCCCCTGGCTCCCTGGGCTCTGTCCCCACGCTCTGTCCCCGTCCCTCTCCATCATCCCCCGGCTCCCTGGGCTCTGTCCCCACGCTCTGTCCCCGTCCCTCTCCATCATCCCCCGGCTCCCTGGGCTCTGTCCCCACGCTCTGTCCCCGTCCCTCTCCATCATCCCCCGGCTCCCTGTGCTCTGTCCCCACGCTCTGTCCCCGTCCCTCTCCATCATCCCCCGGCTCCCTGGGCTCTGTCCCCACGCTCTGTCCCCGTCCCTCTCCATCATCCCCCGGCTCCCTGGGCTCTGTCCCCACGCTCTGTCCCCGTCCCTCTCCATCATCCCCCGGCTCCCTGTGCTCTGTCCCCACGCTCTGTCCCCGTCCCTCTCCATCATCCCCCGGCTCCCTGTGCTCTGTCCCCACGCTCTGTCCCCGTCCCTCTCCATCATCCCCCGGCTCCCTGGGCTCTGTCCCCACGCTCTGTCCCCGTCCCTCTCCATCATCCCCCGGCTCCCTGGGCTCTGTCCCCACGCTCTGTCCCCGTCCCTCTCCATCATCCCCCGGCTCCCTGTGCTCTGTCCCCACGCTCTGTCCCCGTCCCTCTCCATCATCCCCTGGCTCCCTGGGCTCTGTCCCCACGCTCTGTCCCCGTCCCTCTCCATCATCCCCTGGCTCCCTGGGCTCTGTCCCCACGCTCTGTCCCCGTCCCTCTCCATCATCCCCCGGCTCCCTGTGCTCTGTCCCCACGCTCTGTCCCCGTCCCTCTCCATCATCCCCTGGCTCCCTGTGCTCTGTCCCCACGCTCTGTCCCCGTCCCTCTCCATCATCCCCTGGCTCCCTGGGCTCTGTCCCCACGCTCTGTCCCCGTCCCTCTCCATCATCCCCTGGCTCCCTGGGCTCTGTCCCCACGCTCTGTCCCCGTCCCTCTCCATCATCCCCCGGCTCCCTGGGCTCTGTCCCCACGCTCTGTCCCCGTCCCTCTCCATCATCCCCTGGCTCCCTGGGCTCTGTCCCCACGCTCTCTCCCCATCCCTCTCCGTCACACCCCACCTCCCCGTGCTCTGTCCCCACCCTCTGTCCCCGTCCCTCTCTGTCACCCCCTGGCTCCCCGTGCTCTGTCCCCACGCTCTGTCCCCGTCTCTCTCCGTCAACCCCCCCCACCGGCTCCCTGTGCTCTGTCCCCACGTTGCTGTCACTCTCCCTGTCGATGGCAGCCTCCTGCCTCGGTTCCTTGGATCTTCTCCTGCATCTACCCTCACACCTTGTTTTCCCTCCCATTTCTTGTCTGGCCTGTCAGATCACGGTGACCTTCCCTTTTAGGGATCTTCAGAACTGGCCCACCTATCACCACCCACATGCTGGTCCCTAGGCCTTCACCCTCCTCCCCTGCATCGTGTGGGGGTGGTTGGGGACTGTGGGTGCTCCTGGCATCTGTGTGCACCTGCCAGCTCCCCTGCCCACTGCCGCACCTACCCCAGGGCCCTTGCTCAGAAGCTTCTCCAGCAGAAACCCTCCCAGGAAGCCTCCTGCCTGTAGTCCGGCACCTCTGCTACCTCCTCGGTGTGTGTGGTGGGCTGTCTGCCCTCTGCACAGACTGTGCCTCCGGGCCACTGTTTAGGCCTCTTGCTGAAGCGTAGAAGGCGGGCCCTCAGCCCCCTCTCACCGGGGTGCTGCTCATACCCTGTGCTGGCTCTCACCCTGGGCCTGTGTTCTGTTGAGTGATGAGCTTATGTTCAGTGACTAAATGGTATCTTTTTTCTATTCACTTTCTAATTGACTATCGTTAATTTTGGTATCATCATTTTTCTTATTTTTATCTTGTGTCCATCAGTCTTGTGAACTGTCTTATCAGTTCTCAGAATCAAGGTGAATGACAGCTTCAAACATGTTTCTAGATCTTAGGCCCCTTGTTTCAGTTTTCAGCCAGGACATCCAGGACTCAGCTGAGAAAGGGGGGTGTTGTGGGGTGCTGGGGCACCACTCTGCAGTCTCAGGGCCTCTTTCCTGCTGCACCCCCACCTCCCTGGCTCTTCCGGTGTTCAGCCCGCCTCCTATGGGACGCACAGGCCTGCTGAGCATTTCTCCCAGCTCAGACGTGCCTCCCTGTCGCCTCGTGTTTTGCCCTCTGTCATTAGGTTTCTTCTCCCAGGTCCCTGGGGTGACGGGGAGGGGAATGTGGGGGTCCTGCCTGCTGCCGAGCCAGCAGTGGGTGCCAGGCTCCATGGTACCAGTTACTTCTCCCTCTGCTTTCCTCATAGGTGGTGGTAAAGTTTATTAAGAAGGACAAGGTTTTGGAGGACTGTTGGATTGAGGACCCCAGACTTGGGAGAGTTACCTTGGAGATTGCAATTCTGTCCAAGGTGGAGCATACCAATATCATCAAGGTGGGCTCTGTTTGCTTGTCATTGAGGCCCTTACCTCGCTCTGTGAGGAGTTCTTACATGTGGTACTTTTGTCTCTTGCCAGGTGTTGGATGTATTTGAAAACCAAGGATTCTTTCAGCTAGTGATGGAGAAGCATGGCTCTGGCCTGGACCTCTTTGCATTCATTGACCGCCATCCCAGCCTCGACGAGCCCCTGGCGAGTTACATCTTCCGGCAAGTGAGTGGCTGGAGATGTGCTGGTGGGTGTGGTTTACTTGGGCGCTATGTCCTGGAGGCTGCAGAGACCAGGGGTGCATACCCAGTCCTGGAGGCTGCAGAGACCAGGGGTGCATACCCAGTCCTCACTGTGAGCTGGGTCTAACCTTCAGGTTTTTGATGTTATGGAGTAAGATACATACTAAGACACATATCTGAGGCCAGGTACCATCCTGGAATGATCGGGGTGGTGTGTTTAGTACTTGAAGTTGATTTGTATACATAAAGTACCCATACCTATTGCAAAAATTAGCCATCAAAGCTGACAGACTGGGCTTTCGGACCTGTGCGTTTGATCCGAATCCTTGTGCACCCCCAGAAATCCGTGCTGGCCTGTAGCAGGGACCACATAGCACCATGTGATCAGGCTGTGGGGACTCAAGGCTGCCAGGGCCGAATCACAGGCCCCCAGAGGTCACAGGGCCAATCGTAGGTCCCCTGGAGGCTGCAGGGCAGCACCATGTCCAGCATGTAGTGAATCTCAGTGAGTGGCAGCTGTTCAGCTAATTAAAGTTATCAGCAAATATGGGGATTCTGACAATTAATTTTACAGTGTGTTTTGTTTTGGTCTTTTTCATGTCTATTCATGTACGGATCTTCATCCACTTATTACAGAATTGGGAGAGTGATTAGTAAAAAAGAAAGGCGTCCTGGGAGAGAGGGACATCGGGGCAGGAGGTGGAGAGGAGACGATCATTCTTATTTTGAGTTTTAAAGAGAAGGTGGTCCCGAATCCAAGACTGTTCCTAGCTCCCTGGAAAGAATGGAGGAATACCTGGAAGGGGGGATATGAACAGTTCACAGATTAGCTCTTTGATTATTTCCTGGAGATGACTTGATTTCTAATGCAGCTTCCATAAGTTGGCATTTCTTCCTCAGAGCTGCAACTCTCACAAGTTCTGACAGTGTCTCAGGCCCCTGCTTGTAAGTCTGAGGCATTGTGGTTCTGCCCAGAGAGTGTCGCGCTCTGCCTTCCTGTGGTGGAAGGTTACCTACCCGTCTGTTTAGTTCATGGGAAAGTCGTGTTTCTGAAATCATGGCGAACAGTGTCTGTATGACGTCACAACAGCAGTTACTTGTTAAAAGCTGCTGCCTGTCGGTGATTCAGGGGCTACTGACAGGCACCAGTATTGTTCTGTACTTCACAATTTTGTACCAAGTATCTACAGCTTTTTTGTAGATTTACATACATAATAAGTGTTAGTTATCACATGTATTTACATGTAATGTAAATCAGAATTGCAGCTTTACAGAACTGTATTGCCATATACAAATTTATGTATACATAGAGCCGTTTCTCAGTGCAGTGCCTCTCTGCTCCGAATCCATTAGGGCCTGCTCAGCAGACAGCTCTCCAGTATAGCAGGTGCTGGGGGGCCTGCAGGAAGAGTGGCCTCTCTTCTGGGCTCAGGTTCTCTTCACCCCTTTGTGGTTAACCCCTTGGTACTAGTTAATAAACCTTGATGAAATTTTCCACATTCAGATTAATGTGTGGTTTGTTTCCCGACTGGACTCTGATATGTATGTAAATGTGTATGCACATGTATGATGTATGTTTATGTACATGTGAGTATGTAAGTACATGCACAATGCACACGTATGCACATGAGTATGTATGTATATGTGCAGTGCATGCATATATAAAGGTGTTTATAAATACTTAAGTATGAATGTTTGCATATATGTGTATTTAAATACATATTTACTTGTTAATTACAAGCTAATTAGTTTAGCTGAGTTAACCCACCATTAATTATGGCTTCTGATTAGAAGGTACTCATCTATAAATGCAATGTTATCACTAATGATCAAAATGACTGATATTTGTGAAGTCATGGCCCGAGTTGGTAGAGTTGTGTCCCAACTGTGGAAGTGGTCAGGGAATTTACCGATCCTGGGTGAGCTGAACTGAAAGCCCACCATTGTTGATCCGTGACATCAGCCGTGCGGTGGGGCCTTCCCAGGCCCCGCTGACTGTAGTGGCTTTGCTCTTTCCGAGCAGCACTTGTGCACCTGGCTTGTTGAAATGAAGCCCATTTCCAGGGGAGCTGCTTTAAGTCCACATGGGAGAGAATCCCGCACACATCGGGGAAGGTACCGCAGCTGCTGTGCTTCTCTCTGAGAAGCTGCTCCGGTCCTGGGGCAGGGTTTGCAGACTCGGCTTCTGCTCTCAGCTCTGCCTCTGAGGCCTCGAGCACTTTCCCTCCTTGTGAACTGCAGGTGTCACGCTCAGGCTTTCTCCGGGCCCACTGCCCGCGCCCGCCTGACCTGCACCCATGTGAGTGCCTGCCACGTGGCTTTGTCCCTGCTGCCTGTGGTCTCTGTACCTCCCTTCCAGGATGGCTGTGGTGTGTGTGGAGGGGTGAGTGAATGTCCACTGGGAGGATTTCTTCAGTAGCCCACAGACAGAACTTAAGCATCATATATTTATTTGGGGGAGGGAGAAAGGGGGTGTTGTGGGAGAGCAAAGTTTCAGTCAAGTGAGATGAGTGAGTCCAGGAGACGGTTCCCACTGCTGACAGTGCAGCGCGGTCTCCTAGAGGTTTGCTGAGAGAGTAGAGCTCATGTTATGTGTCCTTATCACAAACCATAATAATGATAATAATGATGAACTGCAGGGGTCACGGACTCCTGCTGCCCTGTTGGCAGGGTGTGCATTGGCCGTGGTGAGCACCCCACTGCCAGTCGCTTCCACTGCCCCCGGCCTACAACATCTGAGTTCTTTGCTGTCACCTATGCATTATGAGTTAGATAATTGCTTTCTTCTTGTTTATCCTTATTTTAAATACATGTTTTACTTGTATTGCTTTTTTAAAAAGTCCCCTGTGGCCTGATTTCAGCTGGTGTCGGCGGTGGGATACCTGCGCTCCAAGAACATTATCCATCGGGACATCAAGGACGAGAACATCGTGATCGCTGAGGACTTTACGATCAAGCTCATAGACTTCGGCTCTGCTGCCTACTTGGAGAAGGACAAGCTGTTCTACACCTTCTGTGGGACGACTGAGTACTGTGCTCCTGAAGTCCTCCTGGGAAACCCGTATGTATTCGCATGCTGCATGCAGCCTGCTTCCCATCCCTGTGGGCCCTGTGACTGGACGCACTTTAGGTGGGAAATGGTATTAGTGCATGCCTCTTTCTGACGAGGGTGTTGAGTGATAAAGTATGTTTTAGAAAATAAGTGGACAGGCAGGCAAAGAAAGATTGGCCACAGGAAGCTGGGTGGTGGATACAGGGGTTCATTATATTTGATCAACTGTTGTTAGGTGTTTTACATAATTAAGAGTTAAGAAAATGACGATAGAGAGATAAAAGGGCCAAAGTTGGGATTCCTCAAATGCATGATGGGCATTTTTCTGTGTGGTTTATTTATTTTGAAGACAAGAATAACATCTATTCCAGTAAATATTGTAGGGCTAGCCGTACAGGAAATGAAGCAGTAGAAAAGTACCAAGGCAGGGCGTCCACACTGAAGCTGGCGCTCCTCACTGGAGGCGCCGCTGACGTCTGAGGCTGAGCTGGGCCGGGCAGGCCTGTCCCAGAGAACCTTAGAGAGGAGACGATGTGAGAGGACACGCGCTGACGGCTGCTCACACACCGGTGCGGCTTGAGTGAAATGAAATGGTTCTGTGCTCTTTCTCCTTGCACGAATTTCTGTCTGTCTGTACATGTACAGAATGGACTTACAAGGTCAGACCCAGACCACAAATATTTTCCTGTCCCATCCATTCATAGTTGAGAGAGGTGTAGTTGATGTCCCTGCCAGAGGGCTCATGGTCAGAGAGTCTGGCTGCCAGGGCGCCACGTGCACCTTTGCTGCTGTTCCTGCTGTGCCGGGCCACACCCCGTGCCCCCTCCACTTGGTCGTGTTCTCATGTGACAGGTGTGTGGGGCTCGGGTGTATCTGGTCGGAGCTGGATTTGACCTCAGGCAGCCTGAGTGCAGAGCATTCGCTTGCAGCCATGCTCTCCCTGTGATGAGTCTTGGCTCTTGGAGAAATCGCTCTGTGCTGGTGTCAGAGGCTCCAGCCACCCTTCATTCCAGAACTGGGACCTGAAGGCTGCAGGCCCTCCGGCCCCCATAAGCAGGGTGCTGGGCCCCATCTCTGTGCACATCCAGAGCCATTAGACAGTGTGAAAGACTGGAGGGGCAGAGCCTAGCAAGGGCCTCGGAGTTTCCTTTAAGATGCAGTTACCTTAACCATGGTATCCAGAGTGCCAGTGGCCGCTCTCCTGTCCTGTGAGGCCATCAGGTCATTGGTGTGAGATTGAGACTGCATGTTCACTGTCCACAGGACCATGATGTGTGCTGCGTGGGCTTCCCTGCCCCCACCCTTGCCCCTGGGCTGCGAAGCTCCCACAGTGTGGGCTGGGAGCACGTCTATGCCTTTGCGAGCTCTGATGACCTTGCAAACGTAGGGGTGCATATGACCCTGGTGACCACCCACCGGCCACCCGCCCTCCCCCTCTGGGGTGCCTCTGCCCCCTCTCCCCCACCGGCCTACAGGTGTGCACCCTGCATGCTCTCCCCGCTACACTGGTTCTCAGGCAGGTCTCCTGGGCTCTGACTCTGGATCCCACCCTCAGGAGCTCTGCGTCCCCCTCATTGGTTCTTTGTCCTTCTCTGCCGGGGTCAGTAAGTTGTGGCTCCTGGCCAAAGCCAGGCCACCACTTGTTTTTTTTTGTGTGTGTGTGTGTCATTAATATGCAATCACATGAGCAGCATTATGGTTACTAGATTCCCCCCATTATCAAGTCCCCACCACACACCCCATTACAGTCACTGTCCATCAGCGTAGTAAGATGCTATAGAGTCACTACTTGTCTTTGTGTTGTACTGCCTTCCCCGTGACCCTCCCTACGTTATGTGTGCTAATCATAATGCCCCTTATTCCCCTTGTCCCTCCCTTCCTACCCATCCTCCCCAGTCCCTTTTCCTTTGGTAACTTAGTCCATTCTTGGGTTCTGTGAGTCTGCTGCTGCTTTGTTCCTTCAGTTTTTACTATGTTCTTACACTCCACAGATGAGTGAAATCATTTGGCATTTGTCTTTCTCTGCCTGGCTTATTTCACTGAGCATAATACCCTCTAGCTCCATCCATGTTGTTGCAAGTGGTGGTAGGATTTGTTTTCTTCTTATGGCTGAATAATATTCCACTGTGTATATGTACCACAGCTTCTTTATCCATTCATCTACTGATGGACACTTAGGTTGCTTCCATTTCTTGGCTATTGTAAATAGTGCTGCCATAAACATAGGGGTGCATCTGTCTTTTTCAAACTGGGCTGCTGCGTTCTTAGAGTAAATTCATAGGAGTGGAATTCCTGAGTCAAATGGTAAGTCTATTTTGAGTTTTTTGAGGAACCTCCATATTGCTTTCCATAATCGTTGAACTAGTTTACATTCCCACCAGCAGTGTAGGAGGGTTCCCCTTTCTCCACAACCTCGCCAGGATTTGTTGTTGTTTGTCTTTTGGGTGCTGGCCATCCTTACTGGTGTGAGGTGATATCTCATTGTGGTTTTAATTTGCATTTCTCTGATGATTAGCGATGTGGACCATCTTTTCATGTGCCTGTTGGCCATCTGAATTTACCACTTGTTTTTATAAGTAGTTTTATTGGAAAACAGCCATGCTGGTTGCTCACACAGCGTCTGGCTGCTTTCATACTGCCCAGCAGAGTGGAGTAGGGGCGATAGGCCTGTCGTGGACCCTGGGCCCGAAATGTTCACTCTCTGGCCTTTTATGAAGAAAGTCTGCTGACCCCTGTTGTGCTCTGTTGGGTTTTTCTCTTCAGCCTCCAGAATTCTTGGAATCTCTCTCCAAAACAGAAACAACACAAAACAGAAAGTGCTGAATCTGCTTTTCTTGCTTGAGCTCCTGCAGCCTTTTATCCCCTCAGTTCTCTGAGGTCTGCCCTCCTGGTGCCCCCTCCTGACCCTCTCCTACCCTCCCATCTATCCCTGCCCTTCCCCTCCCCTGTGGCCCCATCCTAGCTTTCTGCCCCCTGGCATCCCCAGCCTCTCTGCGGCCCCTTCAGAGGCTCTGCCCAGGGTTCTTCTCACTCACCAGCTCCTCGCGGCCACCTTGTCTGAATTCGAGGTCTGGTGAAATGTCTCGGGTTCCTAGAGCTGCTCTCTGGCCAGGAGCTCCAGACCCAAGCGCCCAGCTGCCTGGGGAAGCACGGGTGTATAACGGGCCCGGCCCCGCCGGGCAGCAGCTGCTTCTACATAAGTGGAGGTGATGTTTCTCTTGCCAGTTGTTGTGAGGTTTAGGATTGAACCAGGTAAATGCCTGGCAGAGTGTGGGCATCTCATAGGAGCCCAATAAGTGGTAGTTGGGATGAGGGTGTTGACAAGAAATCAGAACAGTGTGCCCCAGGGCCTCCCCACAGCGTGCCTCCCTTGCCCGGCTGCCCGGATGGCCCTGCGCCTTCTCACCTGGCTGCCTGGACCGCTCCGTGCCTTCTCGCCCACGCTGCTCTGTCCCTGCTGCCACCCCTCACTTTATCCGTGAGGAGCTCTCGCCTGTGCCAGTCTCACCTCGAGCACCCTTCATGAGTCACCTGGGCCATTCTTTCTGAAGGGCACACCGCTCTGTCTTGGTACTGTGGAGGCTCCCTGTGGTCCTGGTGAGCTGAGCTCCTGTGGGGCCTGGAAGTACTCTGCCCCACTGTGCTGCTCCCCACCTCCTCCAGGAAGCCCTGCCCTGCCTCCACATGCCGTGCGTCCTGTCCTCTGGTTGGCTGCCTGAGCCCCATGGCTGTGCTTTCCCCCTCCCTCCCCAGCGTGTGGCCGGCAGGGGGGCCGATGTGCTGGACGTTGAGTGTGTGAGGATGTGGTTGAGTGTGGCAGACTCACTGGGAGCCACTCCCGGGTGACGTGGGGGCTGGGCTGGCTGAGCAGCCCCCTCCGAGTGCCTCCTCCGCCCCCTCGCAGGTACAGGGGGCCAGAGCTAGAGATGTGGTCGCTGGGAGTGACGCTGTACACACTCGTCTTTGAGGAGAACCCCTTCTGCGAGGTGGAGGAGACCATGGCAGCTGCCGTGAACCCCCCGTTCCTGGTGTCGGAAGGTGAGTGTGGGCACAGGTGGTGAGCCGCCGGCAGCCCGGCACCTGCCTGCTTCCTGTCTAAGCACCCCTGTCCACACTGAAACTGCCCAGTATTTTGATCTGGACACGGGATAATTTGAAGATGACTAAAACATTAAGATAATCTTGTTTTTTTGAGACTTTTCCTTAGGGTGCGGGACCCTCTTCTGAGAGGGAGATGTTAGTGGCTGTGGCAGTGGCTACAAGACCTCGCATTCTGGTCAGAAACTCATCCCTCGGGGGCAGTGGAGGGACTCGGCCCCCTGGCGGCTCTGGGAAGTCTGGGAGTTTCTGACCCACCACAGGCTCCCCGGGAGGCAGTGACGTGAGCTTGGCTTCCCTCGCGGCCACGAGTTCTGGCAGGCATCTGAAGTGCAGGCCCGCAGGGGAGGCGGGACTGGGCTTGGCGGCCAGAAAGGCCTCGGGGGGGCCCCAGTTTCTGGGTCCCTCCCAGTTGTGACGTCCTGTGACCCCACGGTAGTCATTCATCCTTCTAAGTGGTGAGGCAGCAAAGGTCCCCATGCGTGAAGCCTGTGCTGTGGAGTCTCTGCTCAAGTCAGAGGCCCATCTTGGTCGGGCCGGGCTGCCGTTCCAGAGCCCCACTGATGGGGCTGAGCACAGACACGAGCTGCCCACGTCTGGGGTCTGTGGGTCTGGATCAGGGTGCTGGGAGACGCGGTGCTGCTGGGGCCTCCTCCTCGGGTCCTCGCGTGGTGGTGAGGGGGCGCGAGCTCACCGATGGCTCTCCTGGGGAAGGCGCTGTCCCTGCCACGTGACCCTTCTAACCCTGACTGCCTCCAAAGAGCTCACCTCCCGGTGCCGTCACGTGGGGGCCCGGGCTTCCACACAGGAAGTGGGGGACACGTGGTAGTCCAGAGCAGCCTAGCAGGGATTCTTAGAGCTTTGCTGAAGTTCGGGATTCCTGTGGAATCATGCCTCCTGCAGCCACTCCCAAAAGCTCTTCCAGGTGCTCCCTCACGAGGCTGCTGGACACTCTGCTGGGACAGTAAGGCCCAGAGCAGCCCTGGCTGAGGTGACACCCATGTTAGAAGAAATGGGACCCAGGTCCGGACTCAAGGCTGCAGCTCTTGGAGCTCGTGCTTCCTTCCTTGGGGACCATCTGGGGACTGGGCTGCCGGCCACCTCCCTCCCGTCCCTGTCATGAGAACCATGTGTCATTCCCAGCTCTGCACAGCCAGAGCCTGAGAATAGGCCATGGTTGGGAAGCACCACATGTTGGTTAAGTGAGCAAGGCCAGGCCCCCAACGCCAGCCATCGTTCCAAGGCACAGACTCTGCAGCCTCCAAAAAGCACAGCTGCGCCTGTATGCCAGCTCCCTGGGGTGCCAGCTGAACATGGAAGTTCCCAGGCTATCCCCCACCCAGTAAAGGGGTGGACCCAGGACCTGTAGTTCTGATGTGCGCTCCTCTTGACCTCAGACCTACTATTGGTCTTCTGGCCACATGCCCACCACAGGGCTTTATGTCCCGCAGATCTCATGAACCTCATATCTGGGCTGCTGCAGCCTGTCCCCGAGCAGCGCACCACCTTGGAGAAGCTGGCGACAGACCCTTGGGTGACGCAGCCCGTTAACCTGGCTGACTACACATGGGATGAGGTGTGTCAAGTAAACAAGCCAGGTAAGAGGTGTGGCCTGTGCACCACGTCAGGGCCCATAGCTGGCATGTCATCTGTGAAACAAATAAGGCTTGCTTCTGTTCCAGAGATACCTGAACACCACTGGGGTTCAGAGCTTGGCTCTGGGCCTTCTAAAGTGGGTGAGCAGCTGTGGGAACCCCTGACAAGGAGGTACCCACAGAAGGGGGCAGGAGCTGGGGGTGGAGGGCCTGAGAAGGGCAGCTGGCCATGGTCTGAGCAGGCTGAAGGGGAGGTAAGGCCACAGTGAGTGCAGTGCTCTGTGAGTGGGGAGCTTGGGGGGGCCCCTGGCTTTTCAGGTGAGGCTCCAGCAGCCTGGTTGTCTGGTCACTGCTGCTCAGAGCGGGCCGACCAAGCTGGTGTTGATGGTTCTGGGCACAGAGTCCCTGAAGCACCTCGGCAGGGTCTGGGAACTCTAGAACATTGCCGGATGGTTCCGAGGTGTCTCTCTGATGTCTTTTGCTCATAGGAACTCTTCCAGAGGGAGGCATTTTAGAAATTTGTGTTGTTAGCATGTGATACATTATCCTCTTCTTTCTTCAGAAAGCAGAGTTCTGTCCACTGTGAGTCTGGAGATGGAGAACAGGAGCCTGAGTGAAGTGGCCCATTCCCCGGGGCAGTGCAAGGCCTCGTGCCCCAGGGAGGCCCATGAGGGGAGCTGAGCACCAGCTTCCCGCTGCTTTTCTTCACTCTGCTAGGAATCATTTTGTTTTCACTCAGAGAAGTAAAGTCTCAAGAATTGGGCCCAGTTCACTTTCTAAAAACTCATATGCAAGTTTGCTAAATGCTAAAACAAAGGCTCCTGATACTGTTGTTTAGGTTATGAAATATACTTGGAATTCATTTTTCCATGACCTTGAAAAAGCATTCTAGTGTCAAGCTGAGTTTTGTACTGTGAGAAGGCTTTTAATTTGTGAACTGAAAGGCACATTAGATGCTTTTAATTTTCTTTTGTTTATATGCATGTGTTGTTGTTTCTTGACTTTGTATATGCCCATCTGATATGTGGAATTTGTAGCACTGGTTAGCCCGATGGCCAGACTATTTCATTAATTTATTTTTTTGAACTCCTTCCAAATTAAAGCAGTTTTGTTAGTAAATATTTACCTGCTTGGACTGTATGCATTCTTCCACGATGCTGGTGTGGGAAGCACTTCATTTGTTTTCCTGTTTCTGTGCTGCACTTGCCATAGCTGCAGAGAGGTTCAGTCTTGGTCAGTTTGGAGGTCCCTGCCATGCGGGTGGGTGGGCCCCAAACTCTGCAGCTCGCTCAGTCTAAAGAGGGTAGGGGGTTGTGGTGTTCCCAGGCACTTCCCTTACCCCTGTGCACACCTGTCCTGGCCCGGCCCACCATCTGTCAGGCCTGTGCTATGCATGAGGTCTGTAGCAGGACTCTGCTGTCCACCCACCACACCCTCCCTGCCATCCAACAGCCAGCTCAGGCCCCACTTCTGTGTTCATACGGGGGCATCCTGTCCAAGGCCCCACCTTGCGGCCTAATGGGGGTGTCCCCCAGGGTGTACGCCGTGTGGGGGTATCCAGCCCTGACTGGCTGCTTCCATCTTGCTCAGGTCCCAGTGCAGCTGTCACTCAGATGCCCCCCCCCACAACTCCAGCCCCTCCTCTGAGATGGAAGCAGCTAGAGTTGGTGAAAGCCAGCCTGTATTCTGCATCTGCTGGAGGGGAGGAAGTGGTTAGGGATAAGAGGGAACCTTGCAGTTTTGTCCTCTGCTGAGACAGCAGGGAGAGTAAAATCCCACACATTGCTTCCTGCAGGTTCCGAGGCTCCCCTACCTAGAGCCTCAGGGGCCAGGCCGCTTCTGGTAGGGTCCCGTGCTCACTTCCTAACGCTCATTTAGGAGGCACTCAACTGGCCTCAGATCTCAGGAGGCTCAGCTAACAGTTAATTTTATACTCATCTAGCAGGACGTGGGCTATGCCTACCCGCTTCCCTTACAAGGCACTGCTGGCGCCTGCTGTCACAGGAGACCCTCCTCTGCCAGGGACAGTGAAGGCAGGGTTTTTAGCAATGGAAAGTGTGTGCTAAAAAGTTAGTGACGTTTACTCAGCAGAGTTCAGAGGAGCTTCTTGATGTTCTAAGAACTGTTTTCAAGAGAGAAAAAAACCCAAAAGTTGTTCCTTGTAGTGTTTATGATACTTAAGACGTAAGTTACAGAATTTTATTTTTTTGAACAGGTGTACAGTGGGCTGAGAATGCAAAGTCCTGGCTCTAAGAACTGTTACTTCTTTATAAGAAAAGATACTTAAAACTCAATCTGACTGTTGGCAGTGGAAGGGCTGATGCTTTGAGTGTGCTTAGAAAGAATGACATAGAAAGTGCTGAGGCGGAGGCCGACAGGCTTCCTCGCAGGTCCCGGCCCGACCCCAGGGACTCAGTTCCCCAGAGGACTGAGGTTGCTGTCACCTGATTAGAGTAATTAATCCCTGGATGCCGGCGGAGCCAACCCTGTTTGGGAGTGCGGACAGCACACAAGGATTTTCTTAAGCTTTGGATGTAAAAGCATTCACATAATTTATTTGAGATGCTGACAGTTGGAGTATTTTAAGAAGAAACTTAGAGTAAAACAAACAAACAAAAACAACCAATTTTATTCCACCCAGTTTAAAACCTTCCTTTTATTTGACATAATCCCTTTGTAAAAACATACGTTTTCTAGCTGGTGCCTGGCACAGAGCAAGTACTCTGTGTATTGTGACCCTGCAAGAAGCAGGTCATTTTTCTCGGTTCAGAACCAAGCAGATAAAACAAGAAACGCTTGCAAGTTAAGGCTCTGCAGTTTCGGCAGCTAAGAAAGCACACCTTTCAACTCTTCTTCACAACTGCCCTTCTGAAAGATGTCCCGATGTACCACCGAACCACGGTAGGTCTGATCTGGAGTTCGAGGGTGAATACAGGGGAGCCCGGAACGCCCCTGGGTTTCGGCCCCAGAGGAGACGGGACGCGCGGCGGGCACGGCTCCGTCCTTCCGTCCCTCGGGTTCCTCCGGGCGTGTGAACCCCGCCGGGACACACCTGCCCTCAGCGTGCGCGTGCGCTGCCGCCCTGGGACGCGGGTCTCCACACAGTCGAGCCGAGTCACTGCACCAGCGGAGACCCCGGGCCCGGCCGGCGCCGCGCGGGACACGTTCTCGCAGGGGGGCGGTGGAACCCGCTTCCCGTGCTTCTGCGCTCGCGACACGGAGGGCGGAAGCGGCGGCACGGAGAGCGGAAGCGGCGGCCCTGCTTCCGGCGCCAGGGGCGCAGCGGGCGCGTCCGGGCTATGGCGGCGCTCCGCTGGCGGGTGAGGTCGCGTCGGGGGCCAGGGCTCCGCGGGGTGGCGGGCGGGGCCGGGGTGCGCCGACCCGCCGCTGCCGCTGGGCCCGCGGCGCTCTGCCCCGGCAGCGCGCCTGTAGTGCGCCTGCCCCCGGCCGGCGGCCCCCGCGTCCGGGGGCGAGCCAGGCGGGCTTGGGGGCGGCTCGCCCGGCGGACGGGCTGCGGCGGCCCGCGGCGCGGGAGAGGGGCTCGGGCGCGATGCCAGAGTTGCGGGGTGCCGGCGAGGTCGGTGCCTGGTTACGCGCTCGCCTGAGCGCCGGGTGTTTGAAGTCGGCGGGAATTGTGTACGCAAGTTGGCTGACGAGGGCGAGGGCCAGATTTTTCAGGTGTGGGCACCAAAATTCGGACCCCCAGAGGTGGCGTGAAAATTATTTTACAGTAAAGACAGTTGCGATTCAGTAGCTACCGGCAGAGCCTTCTCGGAGCTTCCTCGTCAATAGCGGGAACTCTCGGGAGTGCGGATGCGGAGGACTCCCCTGGGGAGTTTCATGGTCATGAAGGAAGGATCTGCGTGAACAAGGATTACCACACACTTATCTCCCTGCAGGTTGTTCCCCTAGAAACCAGTTTGTTCTGCCCGTAGAAGCCTCCCCTGCCACCCTGTTTGCTCGGTAATCTTAGCCTTTTAGGGAGCCGCCTCGTTGAGCTGCCATATGCATATGAACAAACCTTTTTTCTCCTTGTCAATCTATTTTCAGTGGAATTGGCAGCCCCCATACCCTCACTGAACCTTAAAGGGTAGGGGGAAAGTACCCCCACCCAAGTTAGCTTTAAGCTGAAGTGGTTCTGCCCCTGCCCGTTTCCCTCAGTTGCAACAGCAAAAGCTAACGGAGACTTGCTTGATTCTGATCTCTGCCATCTTGCAATGCTCTGTTCTCTTTACGTGAACTTCCTTCTCTGTAGGATTTTTAAGTTCAGATATGATTTTGCAGATTGCTTACTAAAACTGTTAGGTTGGTGTGGGAGCGAGGCACCGAATACCTTGGCTCAGAGATCTTGTGGTGTCCACTCCACTGGGGCGGGGAAGAATTGACTCCTGTGGGTGCTGTCTTGTAGGCCTTTGGTCGGCACTGCCTCATCCCCCTCACCTGGGCCTGTGTTGCTGGGCAGACTCTTCATGGAGCACAGAAGAGGGTGACTGCTTCTTTGCTTCGTAGACGGACCATGGCCTCCAGTGGAGGGGGCCTTGAGGAAACCTATGTTGAAACCAAAAATGATGTTCAGGAACCGGAGTGCAGGACAAATCTGACTCAGTGCCTCCTTGAGAAGCAGAGGACTCCTGTGGCTCGAGGGTCCTTGGAGCGAGAGGAGGTCGTCCTTTCCCTCGTGGACATGGGCTTCAGTGATGTCCACATTCACGGACTGCTCAGTGTACAACCAGGTACCCACCCTCAACAGTTGCTTGACATCATTTCAGAATTACTACTCTTGGGTTTGAATCCAGAGCCTGTGTATGTGGCCTTGAAGAAAAGTCCTCAATTATTGAAACTGCCTATAATGCAAATGAGGAAGCGCTCCAGTTACCTGAGGAAGCTTGGTCTTGGAGAAGGTACGAGAAGGTGTAATGTCATTTATGGTGCTGAGGAGTCAGAGCTAGGGAGCGTGTAGTTCAGGTGAGATGGATTAGGGAGGCTTCTGGGAAATGGCCTGGTGAGTAATGTGTGGTTCAGCTTAGATGTGAGGGAGAGGAGGGACCTCTGCAGAGGGCATTACCAGAGGGCACGGGGATTGAGTGACAGGCAGGGACTTTGCCTGGGTTCTGTTGTAGGAGCTCCAGCATTTAGAACATGGTATGCGTACAGCACGTAGATGTTAGCATATGTGATATTTGTGTACATGTATGTGTGTGACTTTTGATGTTCAACTTGACTTGTACTTTGTGTCTATGATGGAAAAGCCAAAGATCTACAAAGTCCCTTGTAAAGACTTGGATTCCAACTAGGTGTCTTGATTCACTGTGGAACATGAGGTCTTACAGATTCCTGGAAATGTCGGGGTGGCTGGTCCCTCTAGTCCCCAGCTCCACCCCAACAGGGTTCATGCCTCAAGGATACACAGGTTCACTCAGTCTCTTTTGGGGCCTTCTGGAGAAGGGGCCTGGGGCCCGTGAAGGTCCCCAAGGACCCCTACTCACTTTGACCAGAGGGTTTCCACTGTTCTTTTTTTTTCATTCTTGATTCCTACTGGTAAGATTCTGTTGGGGTGGGGAGAAAAGGGTTGGGGATCCACTATTTCAGAGGATCTTGATAGGCCTCCTTCTCAACACAAGCAAAAATATAGCTTGTGTATTTCTTAACAGGTGACCTGTTAAAGGCTAAACTCTGTGCCTGTGTACCATGGCCATGAGCTAGCCAGCTCAGCACCACCTTCAGCGACAGAGAGAGCATCTGAGCTCCTGAAATTAATTCCCAATGTGTTTTAGCAAGACACTGACTAACTTAACTGCTAGGAAGATTTTAATTAGCAGTTTAAATAACTCAAGTTGCCAAGTACTAAGTTTTGCCCAACTATCCACATGCCCCAGTTTGCCTACAATAGTCTCAGTGTCTATCAGTTATCCTTATGCAGTTATTAATAGGGTTTCTTTCACTCCAAAATGTCCTGGTTTGGATGACGTGAAAGGTCATCCAATGAGCTGTTAAGTGGGCTGGGACATCAGTGTCCATGGCTGCTTTCCATACCATTCCTGCTGTCACATTAAGTGTTGTCCTGGAACCCCTTTCCAGTGAGGTCAGGTTCCCAGGTTTTAGGAATGTTGGTTGTGAAAGATTCCGTGACTTTTACTATGGAGGTGAGCATCCGCCCAGAGCCCCAGCACAGCTACCATTCCCCTTGTACTGTCTGATCTTCCCAGTAAATCCCTGTGAAATTCCTTTGGAGTGAGGAGGAGGGGGAGGTGGCCTAGAATGTGAAGCTGGCACCTTTCAGCTGGGAGGCCGGGGAGGGTGGGTTGGTGAGTTGGAGAAGTGAGAGGGAGATGTGTTCTGGCTCCTCCACGTCCATGGTGCTCTGGGAAGACATGGGTGAAGCCGACTTGCTTGTGCAGGATCCTTGTCTGCTTTCTAAATGCTGGCTTTAACTGGGTGCAACTGGCCCCTTGGGTTTCTGGAATATCCTGGAATTATGTACTTTTAGGGAAACTAAAGAGGATACTTCAGTGTTACCCTGACATTTTCACCGTGCGTCAGCGTGACCTTGACAGCATCGTCAGCGTTCTCAGAGAGAAGTGCCTCTTCACGGGGCGGCAGGTGACCCAGATTTTGCACAGATGCCCTCACGTTCTTCGGGAGGACCCTGCTGAACTGGAATACAAATTCCAGGTGAGAGTAGCTGATGGGTGAGCAGGCCAGTCATGGCAAGTGTCAGCTCTGCCGGTGAGGGCACCCTGAGGGGGAGCAGACAGGGAAATGGCTTAGGTCCTCCACATGCACCACCCAGAGAGAATCTAGTTTTGGCTCTTTCACTTGTTCACAGTAAAACCTGCTCTGCAGCTTTTCTGCCATTAATAGTGAATGACCCAGTCCCATTCTTAGAGTCCAAATGGGGTCTCTGTTTGAAATAGTCAACTTAGAGCCAAAATCTTCCAATCTTTTGAACATACTTTGCTTGTTAATTTTTTGATGTAACTGACAATTGTTCTGGTTTTTTGGTGACAATTATGATGACTTTTTTCTGAAATCTTTGCATATTGTTTCCATACTGAGTTTTCCTTCCCCTATCTGAAGAAAAACAGTTCTTAATTTCTCTTCCTGCACTTTTATTTTCTGCATTTTTCTCAATATGCTTTGAAAACTTAGCCATCATGCAAATGCTGGTATCATAGTGTCCTGCCACTGTTAAATAGGCAGTTCTTTTTGAGTGCTTTTAGATGACTTGTGTTTATATGGATCGTGGAACAAGAGGTTCAGGTTTCTGCGCCTGAGATTCCTAACTGTGTCTGCCCCAGTATGCCTATTTTAGGATGGGGCTTCAGCACGTGGACGTGGTGAGGACCGACTTCCTGCAGTACTCCATAGCCAAGACCAGGCAGAGACACGTGTTCCTCGAGCGCCTGGGAAGGTACCAGACTCCTGATAAGAAGGGGCAGACACAGGTCGCCAACCCTTCACTCAAGGACATTCTCAGAGTTTCAGAAGCCGAGTTTTTGGCCAGGACAGCCTGTTCTTCTGCCGAGGAGTTTCAGGTTTTTAAAAAGCTCTTGGCTCGGGAAGAAGAAGAAGAGTCTGAGAGCCACGTGCCTGATGAGAAAAGCGCAAGTCTGGTCGGGGAGGAGGGGGAGGGGGAGGCGGAGGGGGAGGGGTTGGGGTTGGGGGAGTGATGGAAGGAACTGACTGGAACTAAGCACCCAGAGGTGTCAAAGAATATTCTCTTAATTTTCTCTTGGGAGCTTCACTAGGATCTTCTCAGATGATTTTTCATTTAAAAACTGTCCTTCTGGTTAAAAAACTATTCTAAGTCACCCGAAATGTAGGTCAAACTAAACTGGAGTGTGACCTGTTGCCAGGTCTCTGGGGAAGGCTCTCTTCTGTCCTGAGTAAAAGATTTACGTAGAGCTGTTCAGGTAGGGGGAGTCAGTGCGTCAGAATTCGGCTTTATTTTCCCCGTTGTGTCTGTGGGTGGTGATTCCACGACAGGGCTGGGGTGAGGTTCTTCCTGGTCCAGATGTCTTCTTACATTTCCTTCTAGTGATGAAGACAGAATCAGGAGAAGGCAGCGAGCTTTTAGGACATCACGGTACTTTATTTCATGAAAACAGTTAGCAGGCTTTCCATAAAAATACCGCATCCCAATTGCATTCTGTGCACAGCAGAGGAAAGGGAGCCGGGATGTGGTTTCGTTCCGTGCAGCCCCTCATGCTGGCGGACCGTCGGGCTTCTCTCTCCCTGGAAGGACGGCCTCGCCTTTGCCCTCGCGGAAGTTTGTTCTCACACCAGCTAATGGCCAGTGGGCCATGCCCAGGCCTGAAGTCTGTTGCAGCTGAGGGCGGACCTGGAGTGGACACACAGAAAGGGGACATGGAGCGGGCCTCTCCAGCCATCCCTGCCCACTTTACAGGCAGGTTCTGAGACCAGGGGCAGGGCAGGGTGGGGCGTGGAGCCACGGCAGGGAGCTCTCCATGATGCCAGAGGGGGTGGCAGACCCCTCAGGGAGCCCAGGGGTCTGAACAGTGATTCGTGTCAGGCCAGGGAACGGAATGTGCTGAGCCTGGGGTCACCTCTGAGGGAGAGGCCTGCCCTGCTGACAGGAGCCCCACGCAAGGTGGGAGGATCGGTGTCTTAGAGCATTCTGGGTATCCCTTCTTGGGAGGGACTGGCACAGGATAGATGCTGCACAAAACATTCTTGGTGATGTGATGAACATTCGGGGCTTGGCAGCATTTTAACAGCTGTGGAGACTCCTGGGGCCTGGCCTTCTTTTTCCGTAGAGGCCATGTAGGAGCCTGTTGGCACGGCTCTCACCTGAGGCTATCTTGATCATCTAGCACACCTGGGGACTTGGCTGCTAGGCAGGTAGTGCAGTTGGGATCTTGTGGCTCTAGGCCAGGGCTGCTGTCAGCATCCTACCACACAGGACAGTCCTGCGATGGATGTGACCCAAAACAGCAGCGCTGAGGCCGGGTCTCCGTGGGAAGGCTTGGTCCAGCAGGATGTGACTTGGTTCATGGGAACTCGAGATTTTATGTGGGCTTACATTTACTGTATTCCTTTATCTAAAAGAGAAGCAGAAGCTGGTCTCCAAGGAGCCCTCCCTAGGCCCTGGCGTGCTGTCAGCAGCCCGGAGCTGTGTTCTTCGGGGGTGCAGCCTGCAGAGTGCCAGCTGCCCCCTCCAGGCTCATATTCAAGCACGACTGGGAGAGAGACATTGCTTTGCAGAAGAAAAGTAGCTCAGTGAATCCTTGGCCTCCGAGTCCCACTTAAGTGGCAATGGTTTGCCAGCGGGAGTCCTGCTGAGCGAGTGCTGGCGTTGGCTTGTGCTGGGGGGAGCCAGGGAGGTCGTCTTCACTGCCTTTCTCGGCCATGGGCACATTATTTGAAAATGAAGACATTTAACTCTGTGCCAGTGACTCTCCTCCTTTGTGCATCCCTGTGTGACACGTTCCTGGAACCGAGAGTCCTTGTGTGCTGCTGGAGAACTGCGGAGGAGCCTGAATCTGTGCGTGACCACACAGTCAGTTCACCTGAGGTTAGGCGCCACGTTGCTTCCTTGGCGACTCACAGGTGCTCCTTTCACCTTGACAGGAGGGAAATGTTGGGCCCTGATTGATTACCGTCTTCCTTGGGTGGGCTTTGGGTAGTTTTAAGGAAGATGTTAAAGCTTTAAGAATTAAAGAGTTTAAGAATAAGAGTTTTAAGCCATGTGAAAAAAGCAGTGGCTCATTTGGGACATTTCCAGGATGGACTGTCACTCCTTTAACATCAGGGAGTCTTTTCCCAAGTAACTGACTAGCCAGTCTCCAGACAGCGCACCACGCTCAGGACTCAGTAGACTTTCTTACAGAAACAAATGCTAGCGTGATAAACCCTAGACCGTTTCGACGTTCCCCTTGTGGCTTGAGGTCATTAACACGGCGGTAGAGTTAGGTGGACTTTTCCAGTGATGCCACTTGATCCTGCCGTTGGCTGGCGATGCAGCAGGTCACACGGATGCTTGGTGACTGGCCCCGGTTGCCACAGTCCAGGAGCCAGCAGTCCGTGTCTGTCTCTGTGCTTTCTCTCCATTCACCCAGTGTTGGAGCCCCTTGGCTGAGCTCAGCTGGCTTCTCCAGGGGGGCCTTGGAAACGGGGCTTTCTGGAGTACAGCAGAGACTTCTTGAACTGAGTATTCCTCCTTTCTGAAAGTAACAAATTGCAATAAATCAGACATACGTGCACAAAATTTTAGTAAAAATAAAAAGCTGAAATATACTCTTTTCAGAAGTGTTCTATAGAAGATGAAGGTCGGGAGCCCTCCGCGGCCGGGACGCTGCCAGGCCAGGCAGGGGAGATGCAGGCTTGAGCTTGGTTCCAGGAGCTGGGACGCTCAGCATGGCCCGGAGTGGCCAGCTTCTTCGGCTTTTACCTCATCTGCAGGGCGGGGACAGCTGCTCAGAAGGTGCTGGAGGGCAGGAGGCGTGGTGAGCAGGCTCTGCTATGGAGACGGGACTGCGAGAGGCTGCTTAGGGCCAGTCGTCTGAGACGGCGCCACTCTTGCCACGGACTAGAAGAGGCCTCCCACGCCTTCCGTCTAGCTGCCCGCTTGTCCGTCTCCACCGCGCTCAGACATGTAAGGAGGAGCCCTGGCTGCTCATGGTGGAGATCCTGCCTTGGCTTCCCGGGGGCTTTGTGTGGGGCTTCCATGAGACTCCGGGCCTTGGCGCTTTGGAGTGACACGTTGTCCAGGGCATGGCTTTCTCTGCATAAGGCTGAAGCCTGGGTGGTCTCATGGCCCATGGGACTTGGCACTCCCTGTTTTAGTAAATAAAGTTTGATTGGCATATAGTTGCAGCTGTTTGGTCACATGTCTATGGCTGTCTGTGCTGTGACTACCCAGCTGGTAATTGCTGCAGAGAGTGGTCCAGAGCCCAAGGTATTTGTAGACTGACCCTTTACAGGAAAAGCTGTCAACTCAAGAGTGCCTGAACCCCATCTTAGTATGAATTTCCATTTCTGCTCTCACAGTCCAGGGGCTTGTAGGATGGGTCACTAGCCTGTGACGTACCAGCATAAATCTGGAGGAGAGCAGGTGAGCGCCTGGAACTCACTGTCCTTTCAGGACCACCTCGCCTCTGTCCCGCCCTCCAGCCCACCAGCTCTGCTTCCACAGCAGCTCGGCCGCCAGGTCTCACAGGGAGAGCCTCTGACTTTGGAATCAGAACTGGTGTCTGGACATTGCAAAAGCGTTAGTAGCTGGCAGCTGCCTTGCTCATCCAGGGCTAACGCGCACACACAGGGTGGTGGATTATTTGCTGTGGCACACACTGCTCCTTTAAGAAACCTCAGCCTGGGTCATAGCACAGCTGTGAAGTGTATTGCAGGACTAGGAGGCGACTGGTCCCAGAACATTGCCAGGCAGGGTGGTGGGTGGCCAGGTGCCCAGCCTGGCAGGCCGTCTTCTAGAGACCAGAGGAGATGAGCTGCAGAGGGTCGGGCGCCAGCCAGGACCTTGTCTCTCAAGGCGTCCTTTTCAATCCAATTTCAGACCTTGTCTTCCTGGGCTTTAGAAACTCCTGAGGTTGAAGGAGTGTAATAAGAACGTCTTGACTCCTTTGAAGAAAAAATACAACAGGGCATGAGGGGAATGATATGGTTCCTCTTTAAAAGCTTTTCTCAGTGGTCCTGGGCCGCTGCCTGCACAGGACCGATGCTCTTGCTGCATCAGAATGCCGGGTGCGCTCCCTCAGCTGTGGCCAAGGGCGGGGCAGGCCTGCTGAGGGGGGCTGACTGCATCCTCCAGGGGTCGGGTGTTTGGGCAGCATTGCAGTTTGTAAACCTGAAATCTGCTGGCTGCTCCTGTTAATTTGGTGACGCCCTCACATCTTTTCTCATGACTTGGGCTGTCCCCAGTCACTATGGATGGAAAATTTTTGCATTCTGTTCTTGGGTGTGTGTCTGGGTGTACATGTTCCTGTTTTCTCTGTTGTTTCAAGAATGGGTTCTACAGGCTAGACTTTGTTCTAAAAGCTAGACTTTGATAATTAGTTGAGTTTCTGTTTTTATTAAAATGGATTTGCTAAATGAGTTTAAAAAAAACATTCTTCTGGGTTACTTGCTGCAATATAAATATTTCAAACCCACATTAGATTTGTGTAGTGACTTGCTTGCAAGCTTGGAGTGCGTGTGTTTTGGACACGTGTGTCTTTGGAGTGTGAGGTGGGAAGGAACTGACACCTTTGGGTAGACAGAAAGAACATGGAGACTTGCCATCTGATGGACTGACAGTGCCAAGGCCATGTTCTCTGTCACATGCTGTTTCCCGCCCCTCTGATCCCGGCCTCAGCCAACCAGGGCTGGAGTGAACCTTCTCTTAAAAGGCCAAGGGTGGGGATGAGGAGCGTGGCGTGGCCCCTGTGACCCCCTATG